ATCAGGCATTCTGATAACGATACAGTAATACCTCGACTTACGCTACCCCGACTTATGTGAACCCGGAGTTACGCGATTTTCAAATCTCTTCAATTTGTCTTTTGTTTGAGTGCCACGCAACTCTTGATTACTCACTCCCCCCACACTATTGTTTGGCTTACATGTTCAGACTTGTCGCACGGAATCGACATATAGCTACAATTTATTTTGTGTTATTTATTCCTGTGTTTGTTATATCTACGGAGACTTGACTCGTTTAGATGACATTGAGAGACTCTACTATGTCATCTAAACGAAGTAGAACTGATTCTTCTGCATCAAACAAGAAAAGAAAAACTTTATCTTTGGAATGTAAAGTTAACATTATTAAAGACTTTGATACAAAAATGAAAATTTGTGAATTGGCAAAGAAGTTTGATCTACCAGAATCAATGGTCAGAACAATTATAAAAGGTAAAGAAAAAATTCTTGAAGCTGTAAAAAATGCTCAATCTTTAAATTCAAGCATCATTTGTAAACGTCGTGGTATTATCCCTGAGATGGAAACTATGTTAAAATTATGGTGTGATAATTGAGTAAATGTGAAAAATTGTATAATAATATAATTTGTCATACATATATATTATCTAAGATTTTATTAAACATTTTTTTTCTAAATTATTGTTTTCTTTAGTCTCCGGCCCCAATTAAAAATTATTTGTATGTATTTATATGCAAAATTATACCCCGACTTACGCGAATTCAACTTAAGCGGTTATTGCTCAGTCCCACCTATTGCATAAGTTTGGGATATTACTGTATTCTCACACTTTACTTTTTAGCCTTTTGTAATTTGTTTATGTTTTTGTACTTTTCTATCTTTTTAATCAAATAACATTTCAATCAGAATTATATCATACTTTACAGGTATTCCCTATTAATTTTACATTTCATTTCTTAACTAATTACTTCATTTTTATATTTAATATATTTCTGTTTTTATTATTCTAGCCCATGTTTTTATACAGTTTAACAAAAATTCTTTTAGCTTTACTATTTTACTTATTTCACCCATGTTTTACATAGCATTTTATTTATTCCAGTGGTCACTATAAAAATCTTAGGTAATTATATTTACTGTGAAAACTTTTGTACGTGTATGTTAAATATATTTTAATACAATCTGTAAATCTTACATAATTTTTTACCAATATATTTGATATAATAGGACTGAAGAGGGGCATTAAGTCTGAAATGCATATCTTTTTGTGTCAATGAACCTACTTTTTCCACTCAGTGTTCCTGTGTGATTTGTTCTCAACAGCAATGTTGTACTAATTCTGAAGGAAATACTTGAATCAAGATAGTTTTTGGGTAGGATGAAGATAATAGAGACAGACCATTGTGTAGAAATGTAACTTTAAGTAAAGAGTGGAATAAATATATGAAAATAGAAAGCAAAACAGATCCTCATTTCTTATAGAAAATGGCCTCACAGATGATAGAAAATGTAAATATGTGATGAAATGATGTAAAATCTAGATGACTAGAGTTAGTATTGCATGGGAAAAATGGAAGTGTTGATTGTATCATAGGCATTATAAAGTTTGTCATCTGCAATTTTATGATTTTAGAAGAGTCTTGATTTGGAAAATTTAAGGTGAACAGCCAGGTTTTTGAATCATAAGCAAAATCTTTCACTGTTTCATTGAAGTAATTTGTATATTGGTTTGTGCATTCTTTATCACATATTTTATAAAACTATTATGTGTGTATAGATGTACAGGATTGCACCAGAGGATTTGATGATACATAATTTTTTAAGATAAGCAGAGTATCATTTTTGAGAGTTTAAGTTGTTTTTCGTTGGGTAATTACATTTTATGGTTTATACTATAGTTAGAAGAGGAGGTATAATAGGAATGACTAATCAATAGAACAGAGATAGTTTGAAAGCTGTGACTATTTAACAGAGGACTAGAAAGAAACAGCTATGNTCAAAGTTCTACCTGCATATGACCACTTGTCTCTGAATTATAACTTTTCATTCTGACATTGACAGTTCGTTTAACACGTGTTCGAGAAATCCGAGACTCGTTGTCTACATTTTGTGCCGCGTTGTTTAAATTATGGGATTTTCCTCTCCCTCTCATAATTAATCTATCGTTATTATTTAATCATAGGAATATCGCGATTTACATGATTCGGACCTCGGTTGGGTCTTCACAATAGTTTGAAAGCTGTGACTATTTAACAGAGGACTAGAAAGAAACAGCTATGATCTTCCTATTGTGAGGGTCAAAGTTTTGAATGTTTGATATAATAATATGTATTGTATGATAGTCAGATTTAAAGCAATAGGCAGGAAAGATGATTATTTTAGAATNAGAGTTTAAGTTGTTTTTCGTTGGGTAATTACATTTTATGGTTTATACTATAGTTAGAAGAGGAGGTATAATAGGAATGACTAATCAATAGAACAGATATAGTGTAAGATGGCCGATCCGGGGGAGATAAGGGGCTTGAAACCCACTTCACGGCACCTGTGTAAGGATGCCGTCTCTTAGGTGGGATCTATTAATCCCGCGTCAGGATGGACCTAAGGGAAGGTTGTATGTGGGCGGTGACGGAGGAGGCAAATGACGACAAGTGTTTTACACAAGAAAGCCGTTTATTTGTTAACATATATGCTTACGTCGGCAATCGACAGTCCTTCACTAATTTCTTCCCTCGAAGATGCGGAGTGTGAGAACTTCGGCGTCGGTCGTAGCCCCGGGGCGGATGAGATGCTGTTGCTGATCACGGCGGACGATCGGAAGATATAAGCGGCGGAGTCCACAGTTCCTTTGCGACGACACACCACAATAGAAGTCACTACCTTTCGTGGAGTCGGAGGAGAGCCCCCCTTGACCTCGGATTTCGGATTTTTATAGTTTTTCTCTTCCACTATTCGGACTTCCGATTGGCCCTTCATTCCCTTTCTTGCTTCCCAATTGGTCTCTCTTTTGGTTTGGGATAAACTGAGACCGCCTCAGGTCACGGGAAAGGTCCGATTCCAGGTGTCTGCTCGACGCCGTTCTGTCGATTGTTGACAAAATTGCAAGACTCGCGCTCATAATTTAGCTCCGTTACTCGCGATTTCTGTCATCTGGGTACTCGAACGATCATATGCAATGATTTATCTCTCTTAAATCTTTCCGTCTTTTCAGAAATTGTTTCCCTAGATTGACTGTTTATGAGAGCGGGGGTCAAAGTTCTACCTGCATATGACCACTTGTCTCTGAATTATAACTTTTCATTCTGACATTGACAGTTCGTTTAACACGTGTTCGAGTAATCCGAGACTCGTTGTCTACATTTTGTGCCGCGTTGTTTAAATTATGGGATTTTCCTCTCCCTCTCATAATTAATCTATCGTTATTATTTAATCATAGGAATATCGCGATTTACATGATTCGGACCTCGGTTGGGTCTTCACAATAGTTTGAAAGCTGTGACTATTTAACAGAGGACTAGAAAGAAACAGCTATGATCTTCCTATTGTGAGGGTCAAAGTTTTGAATGTTTGATATAATAATATGTATTGTATGATAGTCAGATTTAAAGCAATAGGCAGGAAAGATGATTATTTTAGAATGAAGAACACTAAATCTAAAATTGTCTGTAATTTATCTTAGAAGTGTCCAAAGTTTTCTTTGTCTTTTCTTTTTCTACTTTTTCATCTTCATCAGAGAACATATATTTATATTAGAGTTCATCTAATGTAAGTTCATCATGGGATTGCAAAAATTTATCAATGTAATCTGCATCAAGTTTCTGAAACCCACCCTTCCTTAAAAGAACCAAAATCTTTGTTTTTGCATCAGTCACGTTATTCAATTTTGTAACATCTGCAACAAATTGAAGACAGTTTGTTTCATATGAAATTTATTGTTTGCAGAGTGACTGACTACTTTCAAACTTTTGTTCAATTGTTGCAGCTTTTCTTATTCTCTTTCCTTTTTTTATTTTATTTTTTTCAATTATTTTTAACTTTTCATTATAACACTCAAAATTCTCTTTAAAAACACTTTTATGACAAAATATACTTTAAAATTAGATTAAATACATTATTTTAAAACAGAAATTATGCATAGGTACAGAACAACAGACTGAAGAACACCTTGCTACCAGTTTTAGAATAAATTAGTAACATTTTTTATTAAAAGTTTTTAGCCGGGACATAAGTATAAACTTTGAAAAAAATTTACAAATGAAATTTTCATTGGACGAACTGTAAAAGTGTATATTCAATATACTTATGTCCTTATGTCCTTAGTTATTATAATGCTGGCTGGAGACACATCCAGCACCCATTTAATAATTATAATTAAATTAAATTATAATTACTAAATTTATCAAGAGATGGTGCCTAATGCCTAACTCTAGTGCCAAATTGTGTTATAAATTATTAATGTTATAGCTGTTTCTAGCCCGATAATATTTGGCTTTGGTTGGTGTATGGCCAAAAAACTTTTTAATTAATGGTATAATTTTTATAAATGTGTATGTCACTGTCAGAGGGAAATTTTTAATGTTTGCACATTGAGGCAGGGAAGTAGCCTCCAAATAAAGGTCATTTCTGCCATGAAATTGTTATTTCCTGATGGTGTTTGAAACGACAACAAAAGAGGACACTTTACAGTTTGTCCAATGAAAGTTTCATTTGTAAATTTTTTCAAAATTTATAAATGTATTATTAATCTGGCTTACAACTACAGTATTAATAACAGCTGTAATTATGAAAAAACTACCATTTATTTTGTTACAATCTTAATTTGGTCTGACCCTCATTGATGGTGATCAGATGATGAGAAATGCACTCTTGGGAATTACTCATTAGATTTGAAGTAATAGTAGATGTCTTGTATATTGGCCAACTTATTCTGTTTATTAAAATAGTGTTGTTTAAACTATTATGAAATATTAATTTATATATATTATTTTTAAAATAAATTTTCATAGATGATGTTTATTTACAGAATATGAAGGGTATTATGATGAATATGGTCATTCTGTTGAAGAAGAATTTTGCATATCACCAAGTACAGGTACTTAATTTATATTATTATGCAAGTAATATATGAACTTTAATTAAGAAAATTTATTTAAATTTTATTATTATTGAATTATAAATTAGCAAGGAGGAGCAATGGATATGTTCCTTCTTGATAATTGTATATATATATATATATATATACACAGTGGGTGATCGGTTAACGAGCATAATCCGTTCCAAGACTTTGTTTGCTATCCGAATTGTTTGTTAACTGATTATCAATTTACCATAGGTTTGTATGGGAATTTGATTAATTTGATCCAGAGACCCCAAAAAATTAAAAATGTATACTTTCTTACTACGTTTATTTACATGTAATAATAAAAATACATACATACACAGTCTTGCATTTTTATTAGTCATGTTTTTTTGTTTGTGGGGGTTAAATAATCTGTCTAATGTCAATTGCATTTCTCTCTTCTTCAGGATTTTCAGAATTAATAGCATTGTAATTGTAGAGATCCCCAAGCCTATTAACCTCAACCTGGTTTGTATACCATTCCAAGACCATTGAGCTGACATCCCCACTTCTTCAAAAGATCTTTAATTAATAGCAGATATCAGCATTAATCCTCTTTTTCATAATAAAACATATCTCACCGAATTTCATGATGTTCTTCATTCAAAAGTTCTTGGCGTTCTTCTGTCGTCAGATCCGTTTCAGGTTCCATTATGAGCTCTTCAATGTTCTTTATTTCTCAGATGTGATATTTGTTACTTCTTTAGCTGCTTGAGTCTTCTTAATTATACTGTATCTTTCTTAGATAAGGTTCACACTGGCCTTATTGCTGCTCAGAGTAATGGCATTTGCTTAAGTCGTTTTAGAAACATTTTTAAAAAGTAGGCAAAGCCAAACCTCTTTGGATAGATATTTTACCAAGTTACCTCTATCCAGTGAAAGTGCTGGTGGAAGAGAAGGAAAGAAAGCAAAAAGCAGTGAATAAAAAATATAAAACAGAAAAGATAAAAAAATTAGTGTTAAGTTATTTTTAAGTTGTTGTTACATTAAGTTATGTAAGTTAAATTTTAGTATCATTTCCCTTCTCCCTCTCCTCCACTACCAGTTTACACCTCCATCATTGTCTATCCTCAAAGGTAAAGTGCAAATAAAACTACATTTTTTTTATCAATTATTATTCTGTTATGGTTATTTATACATTTACAACTACAAAATGCATTTTTCAGTGTTTTCCTTACTAAAGTTTTTTTTTTTAATGTACTACTTAGCTTTAATTTGAGTGAGATTTTCGTGTTGGAACAGATTATTTGGTTTTACATGTAATTATATGGGGAAAAATGATTCACCTACGACATTTTCATGATACGATCTCAGTTTAGGAATGGATTAATTTCGTATCCTGAGGTACTACTGTATATTCAAAAAATAGAACATAACATTAAATGAAAAATTTTTTTTTTTGGTTGTTTTGAACACCATATATTGTAAATACATGAACACTAGGCAATCTTCATTTTAAATTTATTCAATTTTTAGTTGATACATATACCTGTTTTGTACACGTGTTCAAAACGACAAAAATAATCACTGACACGGTTTCAAGAATGTAAAATTAAATTAAAAATTCAAACTGTCATATCAAAGAAATTTGTGCATGTGCAGTGTGGAAGTAACACAAAGGAGATATAAATAAATAGATTACAATATAAAACAAATTATTAAAATATTAAAGATATTAATAGGGAGATTTACTTGAGCTCATATAGTGCTTGCCATGATAATGAAATAGAGTCCATCTTCTTATAATTAACTGCTATCCCTCTTTTGAAGGGCATATATATTTCAATATGTTTAAGGTATTTTAGATGGCCAAGATCATCAGAATGGTAAAAGAAGCATGCGATATCAAATTAAATCTGAATGTTGTCATCAGCTATGAAAGTTAATGTTATGTTCTATTTTAATATTAACCCTGTTAGTGCACTGGATTTTTTTTAGCCATTAGTGCACTGGGAATTTTGAAAATCCCAATTTTTATTTTTGTCAAATGAAGCATGTAAGAAAAATAGTTTTACTCATTTATTTGGTAAAGGTACATGTATCATTATACATCTGATTACATTTAAGTATGATTACATAGTACATTAGTACATAAATACATTAAGACAATAAAAAACAACATTTATCAAAACTCATTACATTAGATCTTTTTATAAAACCAATAATAGAAATCTAAATTTCTTTTTTCAAGCATCCTTGTCACTCTGATTCATCAGCTGATATTGTACTTTGACACTCAATGCAACTGACAAGCAACTTCTTTACATGCATGTTTACCACACTCGCTACACACTGTTTACCTTATGATCGCGTGACCTGTGACAGAATGCATATCTCTTTGCCCTGTGTGGATTTGAGTCAATTTTGTTGTCATAGTGCAGTGGTCCCCAACCCCCGGGCCGCGGACCGGTACCAGTTCGTGGATCAAACGGTACTGGGCCACCCAAGGAACATTAAATTACAGTCGACTCCCCTATAACGTACGTTCCTATAACGACAATTCCTATAACGTAGCGAAAAAATTGTAGCAACTTTCGTATAACGTACCTCCTATAACGTCGTTTCGCGACAAGATTGATAGAGTCTGGACCAATAGTGGATGAGCAGCNGTCCGCGGCGATAGAAAGGTTGGGGACCGCTGTCATAGTGCATGCTGCTGAGAACAACATTTTTCTTTGTTTTAGTCTGCGGGATTTATGAAACCAGTGTAATTTTGTCTGTGAAACCAAACATACTGTCATAATTACATCTGTTCTTTGTATCTAAGAATTCCTTAGGAATTTCATACTTGTTTTTTTTGAAGTGTGCCCACTGAACTCAAATTATGGACATTGAGTAGCATTTTGAATAACAGGAAAGAAGTGTACCAGTTGTCAAATGTGACATTTTTACCTGATCCTGAGATCTCTGAGATAAGCCTTGAGACCACACCAATGGCCAAATTATCTACCTTGAATGGGCCATCAGGCTGTTTTCTGGCATATATTTCTATTTTACAAACATAAGTTTTTGCATCAGCCATTGCCTGTATCTTTAGCTTCTTGATAACAAGCACTGAGTTCAGCGTTAACATGATTTTCTTATATTGCAAGTATTTTCGACGAGTATTATATCGTCGAAAGTACTTGCGATATAAGAAAATCGTGTTAACGCTGAACTCAGTGCTTGTTATCAAGAAGCTATACAATTTTGGCATGAGTTTTATTTATTTATCTATTTCTATGCCTGTATCTTTATTTTATATTTGGATGGTTTGCTTGGTATATATTGTCTGAAGGGACATTTACTTCTGAAAGCTGCAAGCATATCATCAATTATAACAAACTCTGATGGGGAATAATTTTTTACACAGTTGTCAACAAACATTTTAAACAAGTCTCTAATTGGAGCAAGCTTATCCACTTTTCTTTTTGCAGGTTGTGTTACTTTGCTATTGAACCTTAGACAGCGTGAGAGGAAACGAAAGCATTGTATTGACAATGTCAATCTGAATACCTCTATATCTGTGCCATCAACATTCCCCAATTCATCAAGGTTCATTTTATTACTGTGATAAATGCTAGCTAAAAGTAATAATCCAAGAAATGCCTTCATTTTTATACTGTCAGTATATCTGGCTCTGTTTGTCACAGCAAAATTTAGTCTCTTATCACTGATAAATTCGTTAGTCTTGTCAATCAATAAATCTAATATTTCAGAAGTGATGAAGAGGCACCAGAAATCAGTAGGAGACTGTGCCTTTAGGGCAGTCCCTTTCAGGCCTTGTCTCCCCGGAATACATTATGAGGATGAGCACGAACTAATGCAATAGGTACTTTACTCTCCCACCACGTTTTTTGATTTTTTCCTAGCCACCCTTCATTCTTGAATTGTTTTCATTGGGTTCATGTAATAGAATATCAGTCTCAGACTCATAACAATAAGAGTCAAAAATATGTTCATCCTCCTCAACAAAATCTTCCTCATCATTACTGTCATCTTCTGCATCACTTGCAAATTCAACTTCAGACAACAATTTCCATATTCTCTCAGTATGTTTATTGAAGTCAGCCATTTTGAATTTGTAAGGGAATAAAACCAACTAAAATAAACTTATAATAATAAATGGGAATAAAAATTGATTTATATTATAAATAATAAATGTACTCAAATTATGTTAATTTTAAAAATAAAAAACTAAATAAATATTTATAAATCTTGAAAAAAATGTGGTAATACTACGGGGTATTTGCAAATTCTGCTGAGAAATGTTGTCTTTCTCACAGGAGTTGCCACAACACCACACAATATCATAGTAATTTCTGAGCATGCTCCAAAATCATGAAGCTGCTGAAGAGGATATGGATATTAGTTGCAAAATCTATGAATAGTGCAACTTTTAAAACATTTGGGGTGTCGAAAATCACCACTGCACTATTGCAGGGTTAATTAATGTTATAAACACAGTCTGGTTTGTGTCCAAATTGTTTCTTGCTTTTGCTTTGGTGTGTTTGGTTATACATGGTACAATCCAAAAGTTCGGGGACTGCAGTAATGTATGACAACAAAAGCATGTATTTGAAGTTACAGCATATGAAATTGATTCTATCAAACCTTTCCTACGTGTTCAGGTTGGTTTCGCCCATGTCATGTGATTAAACTGCGAACGCTGTTGTTTTCTTTTGGAGATAGTTACCTTTGTTTTGCGACGTAATAAAAATGAGTTTTCAAGAACATTAAATTTTGTCAGTGTTTAGGTAAAACACTTACTTTAAAATTGCTAAGAAAGGTGTACGGTGATTTTACCATGGCAAAATCAAAGGTGTACAAATGGCATCAGCGTTTTAAAGAGGGCCAAGAATCCATCGCAGATGATGAACGCTCTGGTCAACCTTCGACTTCACGGAACGAGGAAAGTGTTGAGTTGGTCTCTCAATGTGTTCGCAAAGATCGTCACCAAACCCTTGAAAAAATTGCTGCGGTTACTCACTTATCAAAGACTAGTTGCCAGTGTATTTTAACGGAAGATCTTAACATGCACTGAGCAAAGGAAAAGTCATGATGGAGGTGTTTTTTGATTCTCAAGGAATTGTTCATTCAGAATTTATTCCCGAAGGCAGAACAGTAAACAAGGAGCATTATCTAGACATTTTATGTTGTTTGAGGGAATCCATTCATTGTAAATGGCCACAGATCTGGAAAAGTGGAGACTGGTACCTTCTGCATGGCAATGCACCTACACATCGGTCCCAAATGGTTACAAAGTTTCTCTCCAAAACTCAAATTAATGTGCTTCCACACCCCGCTTATTCACTGGATTTAGCCCCGTGTGATTTTTATTTGTTTCCATCAATGAAAAAGCATTTGCAGGGACGCCGTTTTGTGTCATCAGATGAAGTGAGAACAGCATCGCAGGAGGCCTTACAGGAGGTTTCAAAAAATGGCTTCCATCAGTGCTTCCAGAAGTTAAATGAACATTGGCAAAAGTGTATTGTTGCCCAAGGTGATTACTTTAAAGGTGGTTGTGCATCGGCAATATAAACTTTTTAAGGTAAGGAATTTTAAGCTAAGTCCCTGAACTTTTGGATTGTACTACGTATATACTGTCTTGTGTGTTGTTTGTTGATTTTTAATAACTTTTTCCTGCAATTTTTCTTTCTTCATAGCTATAGCTTTTTGGCACCCATATGTTTTGTATCCTTTAGTTCAAAATTTTCCAAATGGATCTTTTTAAACTACATTTGGCTTGTCTGAAGTTTAGGAGCATCTTCTCCATATACATTACAATTTTTTTTTGCTGTTTGTATGGCACTACAGTAGAGCATTGATTATCCGAATATCAATCAACTGAAACGTCAATTAAATGAAAGCTTTCCAGTTGGCAAATTTAAATTTCCACTAGTGCTATGATGTTTGGGCTACTTTAATATTATTTTTGTGTTGGTGTGCATGTTTTAGCTGGCAGCACTGATGTGACCATGAGAGGGTACTTCAGGACGTGCCAGGATTTGAACGAATTTCAACATGGGATAGGTTTATATATTTATTCACACATAATCGGTTATCCGAAAAATCGATTTTCCGAACAACCCCAGTTCCCAATTGATTTGGATAATCAATGCTCTACTGTATATCCTTTTTGAAACTCATAAAGCATAATATGCCTGATATGCCTTTTATCTGAAGACACTACAACCTGATTTTATTCAAACAAAATCTGAAGTAAAAATTTAAAATAAGCCTGTAAATAAAGAATACAATCTCACATTATCTATAATATGTTAAATTTCACAACTGTTATAATTAAATCACACATCTATATTAAGATGTGGAAGTCTATGGTATGCAACCAATAAATATTTTATTTATCGCTTTTGTGTTTTAATTTATTATTACGGCATTTAATTTTATTTTTCTATCAGAAAATCTGAATTTGCTCTTTGAATTGATTTTTAAAAAAAATATTTATGCTAATTTTGGAAGTTTTGTTTGAGGTACAATTTATATACCTCGAGGCTTAAATGAATGTTTTTACATTCATATACTGTGAGTCTTATACATTGTGTGTCACTTGCAGATTAGTACAAGTTTGTTTTGTGTTATCTTTTTAATTAAACTACATTTACGGCAATGCCCTGTGAGGTACTACTGGTAATCCACAAAGCATAATATGTAATCGGTTGTTGAGGAACAAATCTTGTACATCTATATGTGACTGACTAAAAATTTAGTCAGTCACATAAGGGGGTATGTCATTGAGGTTAATGTGTTAAACTAAAACTTTTTAAATGTGGATCAAGTATATAAATCAGTTTTTGTTAGGTATAGAATCTCACAAACCCAGTAATATTACATTTATTATATTTATATTTAAATGAATTAACTAACATTGATAAACTTGTTATATTTTTTCAGCTGCTCAATTTATGTATGATCGCAATTCAAAATCTCACTCTATGTCTGCATTTTTGAATCCTGAGGATGTAAAAGAATTACACGAAGAAGAAACCGAGAAAATTTCTAGAACAGACAGTTTTAGTACTCCAAACTCAAAAATTAGTCAAAGTGATCAAGGTATATTTCAGTTTTATATAAAATTTTATAAAGAAAATTTACAGTATTTAAAATTGATTTTGAATCAAACAAGAAAATATGAAACAGTCTTTGAATTTTGGTAGTAACTTATAATGTCATATCTGCATGAATCTATAAATATAAAATACTGTAGATAAAACATCAAAACTAAGTTAGCCTTTTCTGATTCTTTCTATGACATAATTCAAACTGAAAAATTGTCAATACTAGTTAATACTAATAATGACAGTCAACTATGTGTTCCTTTGCTAAACTAATCATTTTATAAAAATTGTATAAACTCATGTCCAGTAGCACACAAGTGTATTCTGTTGGATATTAGGTTTGTTGGCCACTAGAAATGCTAAAGTTCATAAAGGAATTTGTGCTTACTGATACCAATAAATGTGATAAAAAATATGATATGCCATTGCATTCATTATGTAAAGTGTACAGCAGAAACAAAGATAAAATTTTATGCTATCAGTAAACTTTTTGAACCAGGTGACTGAATGGAGTGTGTATAAAAGATGGTAAGTACTATTTTCATTAATACATTATAATACATGCTAACAGCTAAACAGCAATATATTCTAATTCAAATATTATATCTACTTATTAACTATAATGTACATTTTATTCTGATTAAAGAAAACAAAGGAGAAAACTTTGTAAAATGCTTAATTTTTGCATTTTCTCTAAACTTTACTCATGATGCTTACCATCATTTACATCTTAACCCTTCAAATGTGAGTGTATTCTACAAAGCCACGAAGAAAGATCTAATTTATTTATTTAATTAATTAATCTGCTTTGCTATAAATCAGAGAAGACACACAGGAATGGATTTATGTAAGGTTACAATTATTTTTTTGAACTTACAGCATACAGTACAGCATCTCAGTTAGTGGTGGATTAATCAAATGATTTTGATAATTGAGCAGTTATTATTTGAATCACAGTGACATCATAATGTACAAAACAGGGGCTAATAAACAGAATGGTGATTCAAGCTCTAGAAAAAAATCAGTTTATTTTAACTTGACACTATTGTAAAAAAAACTAGAACACATTTTGTCTGTTAATTAATTTAAATATGATGACAAATATTAATTAAACCATTTACATCCATTTTTTGTACAAAAAGTGTTTCAATAATTATCAATCATATAAGAATTACTAATAATTATACAATAATTTTATTTTTTTAAATGTATCAATTTGTTGCTTCGTAGATATAGAAGTATTAAGAACAATATATTGTTTGGGAATACACATTACATTGACATAGTTTAGTTAGCTTATTTGAATTTGCATGAAATTTTTGCCTAATAATTACATTTCAGAAATGGAAAATTTTGTTATACTTAAAAATTCAAAAGGAAAACCATTAAGAAGTTTTGATAACATTATATATACATTGATTTTTTATAAAGAAAAATATTACATTTTATGGCATATACAGTGGTGCCTCGTATAATGTACTTAGTCCGTTCCAAGTGCACATCCGTTAAGTGAAAAGTCTGTTATATGAAATGCATTTTCCCATAGAAATACATGTTAAAACATAATTCGTTCTGCAGCATAAAATAACCGTACTGTACCATAAAAAAAAATGAAAATGGAGCAGTAACCAATTATGCCAGGTGGTCAGATGTGAGGAGGAGGTGGACAAACACTTTCTTCACACATTCATACAGATACAGACTTTTTACACATTGCAGCAGGTCTCTTTTTATTGCTTTTTAATTGGAGTCAGATTCAGGAGAGGCTACTGAAGTTTGCAGGGTCAACTCCTCTTGTTCCATCCTTTGTTTTTTGGCAGCTGGCTTCTTGAAAAACATGTCCTAGGTGGTCTGTTTCTCTCTCTTCTTCAACACCTGTTGGAAATGATGGGCAAAAGTGTCATTGTAGAGATCATTGATCCTGTTGGCCTCAGCTCTGTTTGGATAATGAGTATTGGTAAACTCCTGAACCTCTCCCCATTTGACAACAAAGTTTTTGTCAACTTTCACTCCATAGATCCATTTCTACTCCATTTCTACTCCATAGATCGAAAACTAACATTTCTACTCCATAGATCGAAAACATTAGTTTTTAATAAACTCCCTTGGCAACGAGTAAGGTGTTAGTTACTTGATTAACTTTCACTCCTGATGATTTCTTGCTTTGTTTCAATTGAAATCACCTTTTTGTTTTTTTAGAAGCAATGATTTACACAACACTTGAATAAATGTAAATACCAGCACTGAGGTGATGTACATAATAAACAAGGGAGCAAGCCAAATCCCACAGGAGCTCTGTACTTCAGATATACTAATAATATATTCTAATAATACTAATATATTCTAAAAATAGTAGATTGTCATTGGCAAAAGAGTGGAAAGATCATTCGCAACTTGTTTGCAGAAATGTTGTTCACCTCACATGACTGTCGAATGGAAAGTTTGTTGTTTGCAGCCAGTCCATTGCTCGAGTCATGTAATGGCCAAACAGAAAGTCCGTTGTTCACAGCGTCCGTTATATGAGGCACCACTGTATTGAGAATTTTAGTTACTGTTTAGTTATTATTTTCTTGACCAATTGTTTCACCAGATGATTGCAGATTTCAGATTGCCATCAATGTTTTTTATTTAGCTTATGAAGAAAGAATTTATTTTTTATTTAACAGTGTTGGCTATTTTTCCTTGTAAAAGTTTTAATATTAAGGTAAAATAACTTAATATTACAGTGAAGCTTAATGCTTGTGTGGAAGCTATGCAAAATGTTGTTGGAGAAACTATTCCTGAATCGACATTAAGAACTGCTGCAGTTAATAGCAATTACAACTCAGAACTTGCTCTTCAAGCTGTGTTATTTCCAAGTAAGAATTTTAAATCACTGTTTTATTTAGAGTACAAAATAATTTACATTAACATAAAAATTCAGCATGAGTAGTTTAAAAAGGGCTTTAGAATATAGGTTAAGGTAAATGTAAGTTAACAATTAACATTAAAAGTATATTAAAAAGTCATTAGTAGTGCTTTTGAAAGTGTTTAAACATTAAATATACAATATAAGCAACATCCTAATTTCTATGCTCCAAATAACATCAGATGTTTTATGAATATACAGTAGGCCAGAAATTGATTTGCATATGTTAGAAATATTGTTATAATATATTATAATATATATATATATATATNTATCTGAATATGTAAAACATTATAAATTTAAGTGAAATTTTAAAATATCTTTATATATTTTTTTAAAGCAAATGAACCTCCTAAACCACAGCGAATTCCAAGACAAAGAAACCGAGATAGACAAAGTAAGCTATTTGGATATTTTTTCATTTTCTAGGGTTATATAAAGGAATTTTTAAAAATTAATTTAATAATTTTGATAAACAATTTAGAATTTAATTTACTTAAATATTATTTTAGATATTTTATTTTGGAATTAAAATAACAAAAAATATTTAAAGCACGCATTTTTTTTCTTTTTTACATTCATTCATTTAAAAAATTGTTTAACAATAACTACTCAAAGAATATTGCACAAGTTATGAATTTCTTAGTTTTCTGATATTAAACAATCTAATTAATATTTGAATCAATAAATTTAATGTTCATTTATTTCTTATTTCACCACAAATTTGTTTTGTTTTTTAATTAATAAATGTTGGCACCCTGTAATAATTAACAACCCTGTTGGGAGAGAGTGATATATGTGTTGGTCAGCAATCATCACTACAGAGAAGTATTGCTCAACAATTGAATGATCTAAAAGTAGCCAGCACTGACAAGAAAAAAACCAGCTTATGACCATGCCAGACCATATGTATCTTTAATTATTAGACAGAAGTTATTTGAGTTTGGCTGGGGATTTCTTGCTTCACTTTCTTGTTCTACACTTTCCACTGTATTGTTCCAGTTGCTTCAGAATAATTAAATGGAAAAAATTTGAGATTTTAGAGGCTATGAAAATCCACTTGGAATGTTCTTTGCAGAAAAACTGGTTGAGATTTTGTGCAGAAAATTATAAAGTTTTCTGAAAGATGAACTGAAAGCTATACAAAATAATAATGATTGTATTATTGGACAAAATTGTTTCAAACATAAAAACTTTTTTTTTAAGGAAACATGGCAAATTCTTTGATCAAACCAATATTATGCTAGTTTAATTATATTTATAAACTTTTATGAAATAATAATGTTGAGTTATTTTATCAATTAAGATCATCAGATATTAATTTTCCTTATAAATTTGGGTCATAATTCATGTTTTTATAGGAAGAAAAAAATCTTTATTTTGTTAATGGATTTAAAGTTTTTTAGGGGAGGTGTAAAATATTTACAGCTTTGAGATATTTTTAAGTTTAGAACCACATAATTCAAAATATTAAAGTCATTTTAAAATGTTTTTCAAATGTAGAAATCAAAATAAAAACCAATTAGAAATGTTTGAACATTAAACATAATAATTCTTTGACAAATATTTATTAAAAAGTATTAATTCTTCCAGTAGTACAAAATATTCGATTCTTACAATTTAATGCTGTTGATGAAATGCAAAATTTCTTTAAAATTTAAATTACAAAAACAGATTAAATTGGTTTGCATTGCTGCAGTTTATTTTGAATTTTGCAAAAATTTTTTCTAGGTAATAAAGATGAAGAGAAAAAATTATTAGAAGTAGATAATCAAGTAATTACTAAAATTGAAGAAACTCCTAAAAAGGAAGTTAGTAATCAATTTGTACAGTAAGTATTATTCAGTTATTTTGATGATTAATATGATAATTCAAAATAGTATAAATTAAAGTCAATTAAGATATAATTCATTAAATTAAAATTTTAATATTTTAAATACAGTAGTGCTTAATGTAATAACCAAAAATTTCTATTAACTAGTCCTGATGTCGTCAGATTAAGTAACATTAAGATTACAGTTAGAATGAATAAAAGCAAAATTTTTACTGACATTTAAAAGGACAACTGTATAATTTGAAGCTTTATTAATATGTAATTTATCAGGTATTGTTTGTCTGCTACAGTCTTTAACTATAATTAACAATTTAAACTGTTGTCGTGCAAGCAAATAATGATTAAAACTATTAATGTTTTATATTTAAAGCACTGGTTAAGAGTGATGAACATAACTGATAATTAAAAATAATAAAATCCATGGCCGGCGTTATTTACATTTAATACATAAAAAATATAAATTCGACTATTAACAAAGCTAAAAACTTTGTATTTGTCCTTCTTTTCGCCGTTCTCACCATCAGCAGTACTTTTAAAAAGTTCACAAAAAATCAGAGTCCTGAATCGACATTAAGAACTGCTGCAGTTAATAGCAATTACAACTCAGAACTTGCTCTTCAAGCTGTGTTATTTCCAAGTAAGAATTTTAAATCACTGTTTTATTTAGAGTACAAAATAATTTACATTAACATAAAAATTCAGCATGAGTAGTTTAAAAAGGGCTTTAGAATATAGGTTAAGGTAAATGTAAGTTAACAATTAACATTAAAAGTATATTAAAAAGTCATTAGTAGTGCTTTTGAAAGTGTTTAAACATTAAATATACAATATAAGCAACATCCTAATTTCTATGCTCCAAATAACATCAGATGTTTTATGAATATACAGTAGGCCAGAAATTGATTTGCATATGTTANTATTATCAATATGTATATGATGTACTTATGTAATAATAAAAATACATACATACACAGTCTTGCATTTTTATTAGTCATGTTTTTTCCATTTGAAAGGGTTAAAGAATCTGTCTAATGTCGATTGCATTTCTCTCTTCTTCAGGATTTTTCAGAAGTAATTAATAGCATTGTAATTGTAGAAATCCCCAAGCCTCAACCTGGTTTAGATGCCATTCTAACACCATTGTTCTGACATCCTCCCACTTCAAAAGATCTTTAATAGCAAATATCGGCATTAATCCTCTTTTTCAGAAGAAAACATATCTCACCGAGTTTCTTGGCGTTATTCTGTTGTCAAATCCGTTTCGGGTTTCATTACGAGCTCTTCGATGCTCTTTATTTCTCAAATGTGATATTTGTTACTCCTTAAGCCGCATGAGTCTTCTCGATTATACTGTATCTTTCTTAGATAAGATTGAACTGTGGCCTGCTGTAGACCTGTTCGAGCCATACTGCCCAGCAACATCAGACATCTGCTCACTCTCTACCTTTGCTGTTATACTCTCACCTTTCGAAAATAAAAACAGATGCAAAACTTAACGAGTGCCCGCCCAACAGTCTTGCAAATACATAAAATAATTGTTTTTGTCAGAAAAATAAAAGGCTGGAATTTCAAGGGAAAGTTTCAAAGTTCAGAGGAATACTATCTGTTTAGTATATATCGGGTTGAGCATTGATATTGATGTCTCCTGTGCTCCAAAAAATTACCTGAAGACAAAGGAAAATCAATCTGTATTTGCTATTTTCGTCGCTTCTTTTTATGTTTGTTCAGTAAAGTGTTTGTTATCCGATCATGTGTTCGTTGTCCGATCATAAAAATCTTTCACGAAAGTGTTCGTTATCCGATTTGTTCATTAACCGATCATCCACTGTATTGATAAAAACCAAATTCTGAATGCAAACAGTACTTAAAAAGTACAGTAGACTTTGCTTATTGCATTCAGAAATTGCTGCTTTTAGGATTCTTAAGAAATTGAAAAATAGAAAAATGATACTTGAATTATAGTGTTTGTATTCAGAAGAAAGGCATTTGATGACATAAGTCTCATTGTGATTTTGAGATAATTTTACTATCATTTTAAGGATTATGGGTTATATAAATTACTTAATCTTGTGGTTAAGGTAACTCTTTCAATAGCTTTATCATCTAAATTTAAATATTTGTTCCATTTGCTTCTATTTGAAAACATTTCAAATATTTTATTTCTCTTTGAAATACACAATAGTCTTTTATTAATGTTTGTAGTGGATAAATAATGCAATACTGATGGAGAATTAAAATTGAATGCCAAATAACATTTGGAAAAGACAGAAATACATGAGAAAAAGCCAACTGATGAAGAATAGTAATAGACCTGAAATGTACACATTGGTTTAATAAATCTCATAGTGAACTTTCCAACTAAAAAACTGTTCTGATAAGTCCTTTTAAATAATAGCAAATTCAAACTTAATAGCTATTAAGAATATTAATTAATTATAAAATAGGACAAAAAGTAAATAATAAAACTTAAGATTCTTTGAGTCCTGAACACCTTTATTTTTTAAAAAGCAAGTTTCTTTTACTTTGTCATTCATCATCATTTTTCTTTTCTAGTACTCCCTCTGCACAAACAAATAGTAAATTCATATAATTAAATTCTTTAATTATTACATTTTTATGAATAAAGTAGAATTTTGTGTGCGCGCACAGTTAGTTTAAATTATATAGTTATATACAGTCAGACATCGAGTTTTGAATAATTTCGTTTACAAACAAAATGTTGAATGCCATATTTGCTCCAGTTGCTGAATAACCTACTTGACAAGAGTTGGCCACAGATTAGAGACACACATATGGTCAATTCCCTATACTTCCTGTTTTAAAGAGTTGACAACCCGACTAATCAACGACAGGACCACCGATTCAGAAGTTAGTGGCACCAAGATTGTCTTGCAGGGCACGAACCATTGATGATATTGTTATTCAAATTATATTTCAATGAACATGTGGGTAAGATACTACTACCATTTTTGGTATGCATTGCAATTGAATTTAAATCAAATTAATTAATAAAAACCATGTTAATTGACATTCAATATGAAAGACATCCACAAATCTGTGTTTTAAAAGTGCTTAACTCAAATTAAATAACAAAAATGTATTAATATTATATTTAATATTAATATATTGCATCTCTATTTATAGCACTTTTTTGTAGTGATGGTTTCAGTTTTGGTTGGCAGTAATGGAACATTTTGCTTTATATATATATTGTGAGACCCGAAAGGCCCTGGGTCTAATTTATGAATTTTTATTAATAATGGTAAAATATCGACACAAAATATTACTTCATTTTTGTGAAAAACTAGTGTTTTGGACATGAAAAAAAACCAGATAACAGATGTTACTTCCTTTCACAGAAGAGAACATCCTCTGACTTTCCCTTATCTGGTTAAAAATCTCACTCAGATGGGAAATGGTTACCCCTCATTCATCCCCCTTTCGTCCGTTCTCACGAAAGAGTTACTGGCCGATGATTGGTCGAAATTCAGGAGATATAAGGGGAAATTAGTCTAAATTCAAGGAGTTCTTCGACAGATCCGAAGCATCTAAACTCCATACGTTTTTCCTCTTGATGACCAACGCCCTTAAACGAGTCCCATAGACTAAGTCCCGAGTCTGAACTTAGTGAAGATACTTTTATATTTGTGCACGTATTGATCTCCCGTACGAAGAAGTAAATGAACTCTATCTACAAGGTGTCCCTTACAGACAGAGAAGAAGACGAACGTCAACTGAATCAGGTTGTATGTTTATAACAAATTTTGTGAGCTCTCTCTCTCGATCGCGCATTAGCATAGAATAAGTCTTGCCTATATCTTGTCGCTTAATTGTCGTTCATCGATTATTTGTATTCATTTGTTTTTGAATTATTAAATTTACTCTTGTTAAATTTACTTAAATGTCTCTTAAATTGATTCCGAATCAGATCGCAAACGCGTGTTAATCCGCATATAATAAGTGTGATTAACTGGTGTCAAGGAATCCTGACGAGCATCTGAACGTCGCCGTTTGGATCATATAGCGATTATCGCCCTCCTATAAAAAGTTAGAGAGCCGATCACACGATCGCGCGCCGTAAGTGTCATAGACTAAGATCTACGTCCTGACTGATCTCACAATATAATGGATACATAATGTTATATTGCATTTGTAGGCATTTTTATGCATGAAATACAGCTAAAACGGAAAGGTAAAAAAAGGCTTTGTTTTGATAGTTGGGAACAGATTAATCCATTTTATATTGTTTCTTATGGGAAAATTTATTTCAGTTTGAGTACAAATCGGTTTTTGAACAACTTTTAGGAACAAATTAAGTTCAAAAACCAAGGTTTGACTGTATATAATTAAAATAATTAATTTTTGACTTTAGAAATTGTATAAATTATTCTTTTTTAAACAAATCTTCAGTTTGTAGAAGTCATCAAATATATTGTAAAAATTAATTCAATTATTTGTTAATAATTACTTAAACTACATAACAGACTAAGACCTGCTGGTCACAATTACATAATGATGTAATTGTGACCAGCAGGTCTTAGTTTTTGTCAGGACTGATACCAGTGTAACCTCTGTCAGGATGAGAGGGTTATGGTTGTTACGCGAGCGGTCGCGGATGCGGTCGTTCGGGTGGATGGAGTGAGAGACAGCGCACCAGAAGTGACTCATGTAGAAACTTGGTTAACGTAACAAAAGTTTAATGGGTCCCGATAGACTATATATCTTTTACATTTAAGGTTAATTAAGTTTTTCGATGGTATAATACGCAAATGAGAGAGATAGTTTATAATTGCTGTGTGGTGATAATTACCTTGAGGTTGGGTAAGTCTTTGTGAGGTTCAGCAGTTCCGAATTGGCGACATCGGTAATAATTCCCAATAAGAAGCACTTAGTTTGTTCGATTTCTGATGAAATAATCCAAGGGGTTGGCACTTAAGATGTTTGTAAGTCGATGGTTTGTAGGTAAATCCAAGAATATGCACTGAGCGATGAGTTGAAAACTAAAACTTTCTAAGGATCGGGTGAAGACGGTAACTCATAGAAAGAATGGTGACGACTGTGATGAAAATAAGTTTGTAGCTATATTTATTTGACAACTTTGCAATAATAGGTCGGAAGGTTATGTGAAAGCATCCTTTCACCACTGAGAAATTGCTGAGTGATTAACTCCTAGGTGTGAAATTTGATACTTAATCAATAAAATACTATTGTTAACAATTTAGGTCAGGCTGTAAGTTAGTAAACATGGCTGAGTCTCACATAATATTTTAATAATAATTAAAATATTACATCATCAGTCCATTGTTTCATATTTTTCAAGGTCATCTGCAATTGTCATGAAGTAGTTACCTTGATTTTTATTATTAAAAACTCAACTTTTTGTTAATGATAATTTACTGAACATCATTTGACCTAGTTAATTCTTGATGAATTAATGTCATATACAAGTTCATTTATTTATTTTTTTGGTTTGTTGGATTTGAATCCATTATTTGGGATGGTCATATGATTCAGAGAGCTGAAGTGTATGCTTTGAGTGATCCAGATTCAAATCTGGATTAAATCCACAGAAATTTTCATTGGTAGTATGATCCAGATATATTGGGTTTCTCACTCGTCATTGACTGCTCTGTTGTGACTGGTCAACCTATAATGATTAAAAGTTTTATTCTTAATGTCCATAGAAAACCAGGAAAAATTTTTTAAAATTTAATTTCTTGTAGATTTTATTGTATATTTATTGTACTTTCTCACCACACCTGGTTGTATATACTTCAAATAAACAATGATCTACAATTAATCAGTAACCAGCGTGAAATTCTTTAAAAATCGGCGAACGTTTTCAATTCCCCTCCTGGGATCTTCTTCAGGCTTATTTTTATACCTTCCATTATATATGGATTCTTTAATTCTAATGTTTTTAAAAATTTGAAACATGCCATTTTCCAAAAAAAATTCTGATAAATCATAATATATTTTATAAGATAAATTTATATGAGGTATTGCACACAATGAATCCCCATTGGTAAAAAATTATATTTGAAATAGCACGTGAATGCCTTCCACTTTCGAAATTTTTTTTGGAAAATGGCACGTTTCAAATTTTTTAAAACATTTGAATTAAAGGATCCAGTTATAATGGAAGGTATAAAAATAAACCTGAAGAAGATCCCAGGAGGGGAATTGAAAACGTTTGCCGATTTTTAAAGAATTTCACGCCGGTTACTGGTTAATTGGAGATTGTTGTTTATTTGATGTATATATATTAATTTGCATTTTGATTTACTAAATAGAAATGAATTATTTTAAAAATAAAATTATAATTTTTTTAAAAATCAAGAACTACCATAATATAAAATATCCGTAAATCAATACTATTTAATATAAAATAATGTGTTATTATAATTGTCCTGAAAATTATTATGGTATAGTAATTTAGTTTTATCATAATTAGGATTCAAATGTCTTAAATATATATCAGGAAATCTTGAAAAATATTTGTTTTTAAACAAAATTTTATAAACTTATTTATTACACTTATTTAGAAGTTTTTTATCATTATCATTTTTTTATTTAGAAGTGATCTATTTCATAAAGAATAAATATTTTTCCTTTAGGAGATAAAATTTTTAAACAATGAACAAACTTATTTAATCTCATTCTGATTTGTTTGACCTAATTAATTGAACATCCAAGATAATTAACCTGTCAGTTGTGATAAATATTGCAAAAATTTTTTAAGATAACAATTGATATCAATGGAATATCATTACCTTATTTATCTATTTTGCAATAATTAATTGGAAAGAATATGTACAAAATTTAAAATTTGTAAGAAATATGAATACATTGGAAATTGTTTAAATATTTACTTACATTAAATACAATCTCATAATTTTTTTTNATATATATATATATATATATATATAATAATAATTATTGTTAATTAATTGTACAGCACATTATTATTATTATAAATAACTAAACATTCTTTTGTAGAATTGATACAGAAACAAATTTTTATTTTTTCCTTTCAGTCATTATTTTAACTAATTTCTAATCAAAATTATAAAATCATTGCATAAATAATATTTATACAATAATTTTGTTACCATTTATTATATCCACAACAGCGGTTGATGTATTCTTACCTTTTGTGTTTCATATTAATCTTTATCACTTATTTTTTTTATTTTAAGCAAACACATTTCACTTGAATCTTGTAACCTATTTTTTTTATATCCTTTATCTTATTTAAAATATTTATTATATTCTTTTTTGTAGCCTTTTTGCATTGTTTCTCTTTATCTCTTTTTCCTCTTTATTTTTATAATCATAATTACAAAAACTATAATTATAAAGGATGTTTTGCTTTTTTTTTTTTTTTTTAACACAGTGTCAATGATTTTCTGCAGACAATGAGATATTGTACTAGGCTTAATGTGAGCAGCAATTTTCAAATTCAATGATTATAAAATTACTTGAGTATTGATAAAACTGTACCTTAATTAAACTTATTAAGAAGACATAATCAAAATATAACCTTGAAAAGTTATGTCTTCTTAATAAGTTTTACACTGTTGTTTTTGGAAAAAGTATTGCTAATTTAAACAAATCACTAATCACAATTCATAAAATTTTTATAGTATAGAAACCAAATAAAATTAATTATATATTTAATTTTTAAACTGCAGTTTATCCTCAGTTCCTTTATATTAGAAAAATATATTAGAAAAGTTTGAAAATGTTACTATTATGAAGAAATTTATTTGGCTGCTGCTTTATGTAACTTTTGATCTGACATCTGCATACTTCTTTCTGTAATTGTATCTAACTTCCAATATCAAAATTTTAATAACATGGATGTGCTGTAACACTCTGTCTACATGTAAATTTGTCTTGTATTATAATATAAACAAACATAAAATTATTACCTAAAACTGAAAGATTTTTAAAATAATTTACTTTTATTAAAAAATATATATATAGATTTAAATTATACTGTATTATTATGATAGATATAATAGCAATATATTATTAAGTTCAATAGTGAGTGATCTATAACAATAAATTTAAAAATATTAGTTATTACATTAAACATTTAATTTCAATTGATTATATATAACTATTCTTAAACAGTAGTACTTATTTTAATGTATAGAATGAATACTCCTAAAGATGAAAATGAGAAAAACCATGTTTCCACCTCTATACAAACAGCTAAAATCTGTGAAGAGGATAGCATATTGCTGGAGAAGGAAAAATTAGATGTCATTACAGAAACCTCAGCTACGACAAATGAAGTGATACCCACCCAAAAGCCTAAGTGTGTTGCACAAAATTATATTTCAGTAAGAGTATTATTTGTTCTTGTTAAGTAAATCTTCATTTTGTAAAAGTTTCATAAATTACTTGTAATAAAGGTTATGTACTGTACATTATTTGTCATATTAATAAATAAATAAATACAATGATATTAAATCAGAATTAATAAGATTGATTTTGTAGGTCGAAGAAAAATGAAAAAGATATATTACTCGAATATCAAAAAGAACGAGGTGGTGAAAAATCGTTAATCAACATGGTAGTTATCGGTCATGTGGATGCGGGAAAAAGTACTCTTATGGGACATTTATTGTACAGGTATTATCAGTAACTATTAATTAATTTTACAAATTCAAACTGCTTTTTTCATATATTGTGAGTTTTCTCAAAACTATTTTTTACATAATAAAATCAATCAACAGAGTATTCAAATTAAAGAGTTTGACTGATTTTATTATTACTATTTTTTGAGGTTTTATTTTTTAAGAAAATTATGCATGTCAAAGTATAAAATACTTTATAAAACAAAATAAGAAACTGTTTTGATTAAATTAAAATTGACAAAAATTTCTAATTTAACAATGTTTAAAGATATATAATAAAAATAAAGCACAGTTTACAAATACATTTTAACATTTTAGAATGAACAATAGAAGAATTTGAAATATTATGAAATTTGGTGGATATAAATTTATTTAAATGTTAGTTAATTAAAATCAAATTTGTTATAGTTAAAATAAGCAAAAACAACAAAGTTTTAACAATATTAATGTTGCAATAATAATGTAATAAGTATATTTGTGAAGATAAAATATGATAATTTTTTGAGCCATTGTGAAAATTATTGTGACATTGATTAAAAATTGCAACCAGGCATTGTGACAATCATATTTTAAATTTATTTAATTTAATATATATACCCTCAATTTCAGTAGTGTCTTGCCTCTGTATGTAATACTTTTTCTGATAACAATAGAGTCATGCCAGTCATATATCTAAGACCATTCTTGAGAATTTTAAAATTGAAATTATGTGACTTCCATTTTCAGTTGGAAGTTTGTATTAGTTAATTGGAGCATCCTGCCTCTGAGATTTCCATATCTGGTCTTGATTTTCATCCATCTAACTCTGTTCTTGAAATTAAGGAAGATACACAGTTGGTGGGAATTTATAGGTCTGCAGTTTTTAAATTTCAGACCTATAAATTCCCACTGGTATATTCATTGGAATATGCCTGATAATAAAATGGAAATGAATCAAGCTGAATAATGGAGATGATGATGGAGAGAATAATGCTAAAATATACAATGCAAATGAATCTTCATTTTTCAAGCATTATTTACTCTTTCCTAAACCTGCTGTTACTATCATCAGAAACATCAAAAAATCATTTTATATCTTTACATATTCAACTACAGATAGTGAGAGATTTTATATATACTGCATAATATGTAGATTATTTAAGTTTTGACTTATTCATCAACAGTTAGTTTAAAATTTGAATAGTGAAGAATGAAAAATGGAAAATAACTCGTACAATGTTACTTTTTGAAAGAAATTTAAAGTTTGACTGTTTAAAATAAATATAGTTAGCATGATGCATTAAACAAACGGACAGCTTTTTGATTAACATAGCAGTGGTGTTACAAAATTCTTAAAAATCAGATTTGTTTTTTTATTTTCGACATTCTGTTAGATACTAAACTTATAAATGTATTTAAATTATATAAAATATATTGAATACATTTAGTAAATATGTTTCTTTGTTTCAGATTAAATTTTGTTGGAAAGAAAACAATTCATAAGTATGAACAAGAATCAAAGAAATTGGGCAAAGCTTCATTTGTTTATGCCTGGGTTTTAGATGAAACCAATGAAGAAAGGTAAGTTATTTCTTTTTTTAATGATAAAAATCTTGGATATCGGTGTCATACTTTGTTCATATTTTTAGTCTACGTTATTAGCTTATGCTATATACAGTGGAAGCTGTTGTTTATTTTATTAATAACATTAGCAGGCCATACAGAAAAACTTTTATGAAGAAAACACAAAATAAGTAAAGTAAATATCCATTCAATCAATAAACTGAAATTAAAAATGATTAAATTTTTAGTTGTTGTTATATGTTTAGTAATTGAATTGAATTGAATGATTATTTATTTATTTTTAATGTTCTTCATTAAATTTTTCTATATGGCCTGCTAGTATTATTAATTTAAAAAAAATAGAAAAATATTTAGTTTATAACTATATAACTTTCATAAATAATATTTTTCAAAATAATTAATTTTTAAGTATCTCAGTATTTAGGATTTGTGTATTACCTTTTAGTAAAATCAACATTTGTATATAAGTTGCCCTCTAACTTGTATTCAAATATCTAAAAGTTAGTTAATTGTTAAAATCCAAAACTTCTTTACCAACTGTTTATCTGAAATAAAACTATCAAGATCTTTACCATTCTGACAATTTCTCATCTTTTGTGAACACCAACTACAGATGATGATGATAGAAAATAAGAAATTGTTGGAAGGTTAAAGATCTTGACTGTCAAAAAGATGAAATATGTGATACAATGTGGATTATTGAATCAAAATGCATTCATTTATCACAATAAGACAAAACGAAGAGAAGTAAATTAGTTTTTATTTTGTTATTTTTTTATGCCCCTTTTAAAATAGTTTTATCTCGAATAAACAGTTGGTAAAGAAGTTTTGGATTTTAACAATTACCTAAATTTTAGATATATACATAATAACCAACTGAGGTTTTTTAAAAGTTCATGTTATACTTTATTGATTTTATATACAAACAAAAGACATTGCTAAACCTGATATACTATAAAGCTAGACACCAACCAATGCCAAATTCTATCGGGCTAGACATGGCTATATTACTAAATAAATTATGCAACCAATTTTGTACTAGAGGGAGGTGTTGGGTGCCATCTCTTAGTAACTTAATTAACTAAAAATTATAATTATTAAATTTCAAATAATTTAGAACTATTGGAAGAAAAAATCAGCCCTGAGCAGGACTTGAACCCATGCAGATACATTACCATGCAGATGCATTGCCAGTTACACTACCTGGACCTCCAGTCTGATCTCCCCTTCCTGTATATATAAGCTTATGTTATAACCATCAATGATTATTACAACACCAGTTGGGATGCAGCCATGTCCTGTAAACACCTCCCAAGGCACTCAACTGGCCATTGCAATCCCCAGCAAGGCGTGTGTGTATGTATATGTACATAAACAAAAAAATATTGCTAAACCCAATATACTATAAAGCTATACACCAACCAATGCCAAATTCTATTGGACTAGACATGGCTATATTACTAAAGTTATTAAGAAATGACACCTAACGCCTCCCTCTAGTGTCAAATTGGTTGCATAATTTATTCAGTAGTATAGCCATGTCTAGCCCGATAGAATTTGGCATTGGTTGGTGTCTAGATTTTATATACAAATGTTGATTTATATTGAGGATTTGTCTCTTGTATTACGTTGTAGACACAACTGATCAAACATTAAAATCAATATGCTACAAATTCTTTATATACATTAGCTTTATACAGTAACAGTTATAGAAAGTGCATCATCTATGACAATGATCTCCAAACTTTTTTGATCTCATACCCCTAAGACAAAAATAATTATAAGTTGTACCCCCTATAATATAATAAAATTTACTAAATTTCCACTATAAATACATAATTTCTGGTAAATTTCCTGCTACCTGCAATTTGAATTTTTTCCGTGTATGATTGCAAGTGATTGTGAGCCCATTTCTTTCAGGACACACACACACAGTATTTTGAAGGGAAAATTGACATACCCCAAGTATCACTTTGCATACCCCACTTTGGAGACCACTGATCTATAATATATATAATAAAAAGCATTTAATAAATGTGTAAAGTAGCAAATTTGAACTGTGATTGCAATTTTGTAATGATAGCATATGCTGTTAAAATACAGAGAGAAAACCAAAAATGCAATTTATTAGATATAATAGTAAATTGAACTTAAGTTTTGTTTCATACCACAGCTTCATCAATACTGCTAATGAACATTATTTATGCTGTGAACAACACGTCGTTGCAGTAAATAACACAAGTAATGGAAAACAGCAAACAGTTATTTTTCATTTAGTAGGATTGTAATACTTCATAACAACAATTTTGTAGCACTGGTGTAGAATGGATGAGTTTCTTTAAGTATTCTATACCAAGCTTGTGATACTAACTTATATTCATTTCTGCACTTGATATTTATTTTCAGGCATCTTCTCTGAAATTTTTGTGTCCGTGATATGCCAGCAGTTCTCAATAACTTAATGTTGATCAGAACTGTTATTTAGTCAGTTTAGGCATTTGATCTGGATATCTTATAGAAACTTTTTTTACCTAAACAACAATTTCCACATCAGTTTAGTGCTGATAGTGCTAAAAAAAATGATAAAGAAAAAACATATTATACTTACCATCTTGGTGCAATGATGATTTCAGTTTAGATTTTGTTCCTTGATTGTTGGAGGTGGCTTGGTAGATAAGATTTTTTTGTAATGCTTTGCATTCACAGACCCATTTATAAATATAGGCTGCTGACACCTTTATTGGATATGCATTCTTACACCATTTGACTCATCAGAAACTTTACAGCCTCATCTTCTGTACATCTGATATAGAATTTGCTGTCAGATCTGTGCAGATTAAATTTGGATTTATATAAAAACAAAATGGAATACCATAATTGTTAATCCTGTATATCCTGGTTTAATTTTTTTAAATTTCAAATTAAAAAATGTTTTTACTACAATTTATTAGTCTCATGACAAATTTGTGGTTTATATGTACTAGTACAATGTATTTTATGAATAAATGTGTTTATCTTCTACAAAAGCATGGTTTGATGATGTGATGAAAAAAAATTTATATTTATTCAGAAAAATTATTTGCTGTAAAAAATTTAAATAAACTGTAAATATTGATTTACATTATTAAATATATTCATTTATGAACAGTTTCTTAATTTCATGTAATTGTTATATGAAATAATATAATTGCATATCACCATCAAACTTCCACTTAGTATTTTTATTTATTTGTAGGACACGTGGAATTACAATGGATGTAGCTCAATCACGATTTGAAACAACACATCATGTTATTACATTATTAGATGCTCCAGGTCATAAAGATTTTATTCCAAACATGATTACAGGTAATTTTTTGAATGTAGTTAGGTAAATACTTTAATTTTTGCACATTTCTTTCCTGTTAAGTAATGAAGAATGTAGTTATTAATAGAATTTTAAAAAAACCTAATTGAATATTTGTAAATGCTTGAAATCGCATTGTGATATAAAAAATTTCAAAAATAAAATGTAATTATTTTAGAAAATAATTTATTATCTGTGTTCAAGGTAGTTTTGGTAAATGTAAATTGTTATCTTAAGGCAATTTTGTTAACTTGTCACAAACCTGTTCATTGCATCAAATAAGAGATATTTAATGAAGAATTGTTTTTGCTTTCTGAAAATAAATATTTCTATTATTTTACTGAAATTATAATTTTGTTATTCATTAATTTAACAGTTTTATATAATTAATTTTTATCTATACATATCTTGAAAATTATACTAGATAATTTTTATGGCTTAATTCCATGCAATATATTTGCGGAGAGTGAATTTTGTAAAATCAAACATGCTTGCTCCAGATGCAATTAGTATTATAAATAACTTTATAACTCCAAACCAAATTCTTCTAATCATTAAGTTAGGCAAATGTAGCAATTTAATTAATACAACAAATTTTGTTTCTGTAATTAAGGTATATAATTTCATTAATTTTAATCATGTTAAGAAAATAAATATGTAGATATTGCTGTATAATATTGTCCAATGATTATAAAATTATTTAATATATATATATATATATTGTCAGCGATTCCAACAATAAAGGCAATTTAGGTCTTTTTTTCTTTCTTTGGGTAGACACGGGAATTATAATTATATTTGCAGATTAACTTAAACATTAAACTTACCGAATGAAGAAGATCTTTCTTGTAAAGATCAATTAATTTGTTGTTAAGTGACCATTCTGTTTCAGATTCCATAATGGCTTTCTAAAAAAGAATAAACAAATGTTTCAGAAGCAATAACAACAAACATTATATATGGACAGTACTTATCATTTGTCAATAATTAATGTAAGTACATAGATATAACAACTATACTGAATACAAATATTATAGAGCGTCGTTTATCCGAATCAATTGGGGGACTGGAATTGTTCGGATAACTTATTTTTCGGATAACCAATTATGTACAAAAAATATATTAACCTATCCNATATATATATATATATTATTAAATTTAATTATTGTTATTTGTAATACAAGTTATTTATAATGAATTTTTCTAATTTAAAATTCTTCTAAACATAAAATAATTAATTAATAAATATTATAAGGTGACCTATATTTTATATATATTTACCTTTACACATCATTTAGAAATATGTTTATTTCCATCTAGAATGCTAATTTATATATATACTTAACCCATTAAGATTTTTCTTCACATATTAACAGAATTAACAAATTGTTATTTGTATTTGTTGAATCAACTCTTTAAAAAAATATATCCAAAATAATTATTACAGTCATAGTACTAGATGGTGGGGGTATTTTTTCAATAATCATGGTAAATTTTAAATTGGAAAATTTATTTTTAATTTTAGTTACACAAATAATGATACAAGTTCAGTTTTTACACTTATTAATAATGATTTCAAACTTAATTTTTTGTATTAATTAAATTAATTAGGCTTTTTAACATACAAAATTTTAAAAATATTTAGTATAATGAATATTTAAAATAATAAATTATTAATTGAAATATTTTATAAATTTATTAAAAATGAATAGGTGCATCTCAAGCAGATGTTGCAGTTTTGGTTGTTGATGCGACTCGAGGAGAATTTGAAACCGGATTTGATGCAGGTGGTCAAACAAGGGAGCATACTATGCTAGTAAGATCTTTAGGTAAACAATAAAGAGAAAAGGAATAACATAATGATTACTTCTACATCAAAAGTTTTTACCCAATTACCTTAAAATTGTTTTAAAAAATTAATGATAATCTTTATAATGACTGAAAATCTTTTTAGGTGTTTCACAGTTAGCTATTGCAGTAAATAAATTAGATAATGTGGACTGGTCTAAAGATAGGTATAATGAAATAGTCTGCAAACTTGGAGTATTTCTTAAACAAGCAGGCTTTAGGGAAAGCGATGTCACTTTTGTGCCATGCAGTGGTTTAACAGGAGAAAATTTGACAGAATCTGCTCAAAATTCATTGTTAACTTCTTGGTATAAAGGTCCTTGTCTTGTTGAAGTTATTGGTAAGTTAAAATAAGTATTTTAATTACAATATTTGTCTTTCATTAAACTCCTCCTGCTAAACTCTTACTTCATCTGTTAACAGTTAAGCTTATTATTGAATAATGTTAACTATTTAAATATTAAATTTCAGCTGAAATAATCTTGAAATTAAACTGAATACAGTAGAGTCTGCATAAGTCGTCATAGGTATAACTAGACACCATTGGTTAAGTAATCAGTTTTCTGTAGTCCCGGCTTACTTATATAGGCATTAATGTTAAAAAACTCTGGTTTACTTGACACCATTTAATTCGTCACCACTGAATAAATTGACACTTTTTCTGTCACGTACTGGTTTAGACATTCGATAAGTCAACTCCCCTCCTGAAAAAAATGAGTTCACACCACACAGCTTAATGTCGCAGCAGAATCTGATTTTGCACTTTCACACTTTTCATTCATGCGTTATTTTCAGCATTTCACATTTCTGTTAGAAATGAGTATCCGAAACCTAACAACACTTACACCGAATGAAAAATATGAACTTGTATCTGAATTTGAATATAATAAAACTTTGCAAGCTGAATTTGCAAAACAAGAAAACCTTCCAAGAACAACATAGGTTAGAATTCTGAAGAAAAAAAGAGGATATTAAGAAACTTTTTCTTGGATCTTTGTCGTGACTGTCTCCAAAATGCCAGAGAAAGTCACCATAAAGGCGTCGAAAATGCTCTGGTACATTGACTAAAGAAAATTCATTCATCAAATCTTCCTGTTTTGGGGCCAATACCGAAACAAAGAGCAATGGAAATCGCTGAGGTACTTGGAGTAGAAACCATCTTTTGTGCCAGTGATGGTTGTCAGAGAGATACAGTAGTACTTTATACAGTACATGAAATGTATTTTCCTAATTGTAGTTTTGTGGTTTTTTTCAACTTTGTTTTAGTAATCATATCAGATAACTTGACATGTTTCCATTTCCCCTTAGGGTGTCAACTTATGCAGACTTGACTGTATTTATTATCATCAATGCTAATGGTATTTGCACATACATTATTTAACTAGTATTGAATTTTGTAATCTATGCTATAATTTCAATTTCATAATTATTTTTATTCTGAACGCTTAATTGCAGCATTATTAAAATATAATTAAAACATTAAAAACATTACTTAAATTTAGAATATGATAACACACTCTTATCTCAATATTTAATATAATTAAACTGATTATATTACCAAACCTTAATGATCTCTAAAATCATTTTTTATTCTTTATTTTCTTCTTCAAAGTACTTGGATAAAAAAATACATAATTACATAAATCATTTAAAACACTAACATTTTTCTAAAATGTTTTTCATTTATTTATATTGTATAAATTTAGTGTTTTTATTGTCTGAAAATTTTTTAAATATAAAATTTTTGATTGAATTTAATATTGAAAACTAATATTTTCATTTTTAGATTTCATTATTCTTTCTTATTAGAAGAAACAAAACCTCTTTTTTTTTGTTACTTAATATTCTGTAATTCTAGAATTTTAGAAAAAGCTTTATATTTTTTATTTATTTTAATAATTTAAAAAATTCTTAATTGTTTCCAATTTTTTGAATTTTATAGATAAAAAATATTCTAATAGATGTATATAGTCTAACTTCGATGAAATTTTATGACATATTCCAATACATGTTGAATTCTTTGCAGATAAGTTTAAAACTCCAGAGAGACCAGTTGGAAAACCTTTTCGTCTCAGTGTTGGTGATGTGTACAAAGGAATGGGATCGGGTTTTAGTGTGTCTGGACGTATCGAAGCCGGTTACGTACAAACTGGTGATCGAGTAGTGATTATGCCTGCGGGAGAACCTGCCACAGTGAAAGGTAATAGCAAATAATAATACAGTGGACTACCTGTTTTTGAACACTTTTCTTTGGCTGACTGAATTTCATAGGTTTTGCATATGCTTGAATCTCTTTACTTTGACACCTTACATATTGAACAGATTTTTTAATATTACAGCTCCATAATCTGAACACACGTTATAAAAAACATATCTTCTACAAATGCATGGTAGTCAAGTGTTTCTGATTTATTTTTAGGCACATTCATGATCTATTAGTTGGTTTTTATACTTTAATTGATTGGTTGAAATTGTTCTCATTTTGAACAGGGGAGGGAGAGGTGGAACAAGAAAAAAGCATGTGAATGTATGAAGATCATTTCAATAAAAAAGATTACTCGATGGGATGATGTCTACTGCTTACTACTTGTAGCAAAAAATGAATTGTGCAGCATGTAATAGCTTTTTTTCAGTTCTACAGATTATGGCAACAGTCAGTCAAACATCAGTCAGTAATATGTTCTAACTAAAGGAGCAAATTTCTACCATCAAAATTCAAGTGGCACATGGAGGAATTCTGTAAAGTGTCACAGAAGACTTTCTGAAACTTGTGATAATGCAGCACTTCCTTATCCAATAATAATTTGGTGGTGTTCGTTGTAAAGGCAGTTCCAGTACTGAGTGTCAGAACAGATCTGTCATCCTGTTAGTGCTATCAACCAAGAGCATGTCTGTCAAGTGGAGGCATTCTGCAGAAAGATCATTGGTGAAAGCTCAAAGAATTAATGAGTGAAATGAATATTTCTTTGATGTCAATGGTTGGCAGTTGACAGCACTAACAGGATGACAAGATTATCTGCTGTTTGGTACCAGAACAGCTTTCACAGATGATAAACACCATTGAACCACTGTTGGATAGGAATGTGCCATACCATCACAAGATTCAACAAGTCCTCTATGACACTTTACAGAGTTTTTCCATGTGCCACATGAATTTTGATGAAAGAAGTTTGCTCTTTTCAAAAGAACATTGTTTATAAACATTTGTAGTTCTACAGATTCAACATTCACGTGTAGAGGCAGAAATGAGGCTGTTACATCACAATTAATTTTTGCTACAAGTGACAAGCAGTGGACAGTATCATCACTTTTATTGAAATGTTTCTTGTATGATAATCATTGTCTATAGTAGAGTACACCTGAGTACACCTAGAATATCAAGAAATAGCTCAATGCAAAGAATTGAATTTAGAAGATAAAATTAATGTCATACAAAGACTGAAATCAAAATGAAATTAAAGACAAGTTGCCCTATAGTTTGGAATATCTATTGGGCAGGCTCCTGGATTCTCAACAGCAAATGACTGTTCAGCAGGAAAGCTTGGACTTAAGCAAATTGACAACTGCTTATAACAGTGAACTGGACATAGTCTTACTATGCAATTAATGCTGCATTGCCTGTTAGTGAGGATTGCAAAGATTTGGATGATATTTCACTAGAATATGAAAGGGTGAAGAGGAGATTTAGTATACTGAAAGCTTGATTTCATTCAAGCAGGTTTGGAGAGATTATTGAAAAAAAAATGAGATTTCATCAGAAAAACAACCCTAATTTTTTGCTATTTTCAAGCAATTAGAAAACACATATGCACACATGGCATACAGAAATATTCTGTGCAAAGCAAAATAACAGATTATTTTCACAACTGAATTGTTTTTCTATAAATGCTATTTTACAGTACAATACAATATTTATATAAAAACTTATGTTAATATTTTAATAAAAATTAAAAATTTATTAGGCTAATCTTAAACTTACTAATTGTTTCAATTTGTGTTTTTGGTTAAATATATTAAACTTGTTTAGTTATCATGATTTTTATTTCTCCCTCTACAGTAGTCATGCTGCATAGTGCCAAAAGTGATGATAAAAATATAATACTAGTGATACCCAGTATTATATTTTTATCACCACCACTGCTGCAAGTAGTGATAAAAGCCCTAGTCTAGTTATTTTGACATTTTGCATGAAATACCCTATGTGCTATGGGAATACCCTAAGCCACACATCTAGCAATGCCATGATGCCACCCATCATTTACAGATTGGGGATTTTTTATTGACTGACAGAAAATTTGGGGAATTTTTTTAAATAAAAGAAGTTTATAAAATGATAAAACCACTATTTTTCTGAATTGTCTAATTAAATAATAAATCACACTTAAAAATGTTAGCTAATTTGTATGTTTTCCATGTGGGAATGAGCAAATATTTTATTAAATTCAAGTTGGCATGAAATTTCACCCATTAATTAGTGTTGAAAAGAATTTTGAAATAAAAATGAATTTTCTTTTTTATTTTATTTTAAAAGCTCTGTTTTGGTTTCAGTTGTTTTGTAAAAATCAAAACTATGGTTTGGTAAGACTGATTCATCCTTACTGCAAGCAGATAATCATGTAAGTAGACAGTGATACAGCAAATGACAACTGATCAGAAACAAAGTAAACATATTCCTATTTCACTCTTAAAACATGTAGTTTCCTTGCATTTTGGTGAATTTTCTCAATTTTTATAGGCTTAGCCGAGATGCCTTACCATATTTTTTTACAGCAAATTTTCCTGGGGCTGATTTAATTTCTGAACCTCATTTGTATGATTGGACATATTCTGCATCTCTGGTGAAAAGTTTAAAATTTGTTATATCAGAGTACAAGGACACATCATTGAAGAATACTTTCATCACAAATGTTGCATATTAGCAAATTGTAAAATTATGTCTTATTGGTCAATTTGCATTATTTGCAAGGCTGAATTTGATAATTTATTTGTAAAATTCGTGATAAAACTGTTCTTCAGTAATGTATCCTTGTTGTGAAAAAGCAGGGACTCTGGGGTAACCCCATTCCACATAAAGGATGGACAAGGAAATGAAGATCTGTGGAATCCTTCTTTATCCTAACTGGTGTCAGAACTCTTATAATTTCTTTCACATTTTAACTCGCAATTAAATTATCTATCTACTGAATGGAAAAGTATTTAGAAACTTGACCAGAATTTTAGGAGGGTTTAGTTTAAATGCTAATTGATGTGAGTTACACGGGCCGATGATGGAATTTGTCATTATTTGATTAATGCCTATTACGAATCTATACTAATATTATAAAGAGGTAAAGTTTGTAAGTTTGGATGTAAGAGGTAATCTCTGAAACTACTCATCCGATTTCCAAAATTCTTTCACCAATATTTAGAATTAACTGTCAGGGTGGACATAGGCTGTGTATTATTCCGTTAAATATTCATATAAATTAAAAAATATCATCTAGGTAAGCATTATATTTTTGGTGTCAACAGGTGGCGAGGGGCAAGAAGCGTACATATACGAGATAGGTAATCACACGGTGCAATCGTGTGGTCAGCGAGATATGCAGTGCACATGTCCGAACTTGTAATATAATATAGTAGAAGGGTTAGAAGTATGAAATAATCTGATAATCTTAATCTTTGTTGTTATTTTTTGCCTGAGCAATGTCAGGCTCATTTGCTAGTATATCTATATATTTGTTATACAAACTATATTTATCACATATATATATATTAAATGGAGATACAAATACTGTATTAAGAACAAAACTGATTAATTCCAATACTCACATAAAGGAGGACTATAAATCCTAACCTATTAAATCTATCCTGACAACAGACAGTTTACATAACAAAATTATATTATCTATGATTTGTGGATCAATGCCAACATTTTCAGTTGATGATGGAGTCAAGTTGAGTGCACAAATAAAATGCAAGAACCTTTTGAGATAGAGCTGGATAACTGGAGAGGGATGAGAGCATTGGGCATAAGCTTTAGCAAGAGTATGTTGGAAAGTGATCTCTCATCTTTTATACTGAATTCTATCCAATAGAAGTATTAGAAAATCCCATCACACTTCCAACATGTGCCAGAAGTCATGCAGTCCCATGGATAGAGAATGAGACATCTACTTGAACTAAAATGTCCTCATTCCACAGAAAAAGGAAGTTTTCTTTTACTTAATTTTTAGATTGATAAAATTTCTATCAAAAAATATTTTAACAAATTTGTTAAAATGAATCTCTTAACTTCAGATTCTCATATTGTGCTGTGATGTTGCAATTTTTTTTTATTATTATTTATTTCACATATAGAATTTGATTATTATTGTAAGCTGGCTTTAAGATGTATCAATTTTTTGTAGTAGAATATATTTTTCAGCATTAAATCCATTTCTGTGGTTTATCTTATTATATTCGGAGTTAATTATATCTTTTAAAGTAATAATGTTTAAAAACTATATTTCTATTACAATAAATAAACATTATCATCTTATTTTTCAGGGATTAGCATAGAAGAAAATTCTGTACTTCAAGCATTTGCAGGTGATCATGTAGGACTTTCTCTTTTGGGAGCAGATATGAATAAAATAACAATTGGAAGTATTGCTTGTGATCCAAATAATCCAATTCAAGTAACAACTAGATTTCAAGCTCGAATTGTGGTTTTTGGAATAGAAATTCCAATCACTAAAGGGTTTCCTGTCATTCTTCATTATCAAAGCATGAGTGAACAAGCAGTTGTGAAAAAACTGATTTCTCAGTTACATAAAAGCACAGGCCAAGTTGTGAAAAAGAAACCAAGGTCTGAAACAGTTTGATTTGCATATAAAAAATTTTACCATAAATTTAGTAAACAAATTTTAATACATAACTTATTATTATTTATTTTTTAAGATGTTTAACAAAAAACAGTAGTGCTATAATTGAATTAGAGGTAAATCGGCCAGTCTGTTTAGAATTATATAAGGATCTACGAGAATTGGGAAGATTTATGTTAAGATGTGGAGGAACTACAATCGCAGCTGGTGTTGTAACTGATGTAAATATATTTTCTGTAATTCTTTAATAAGATATTTTTAAGTTTTCTCCTAAATTTATTATCTTTTTTTTATTAAAATATAATATTAGATATCATTTTACATACAATTGAATATGAAATTTTAAAGGTTTACTGAATAAGCATAGGTCAAATAACATTCTTAAAATCTGAAAAAAAAAGTTTTATTTGTAATGCAAAATGTTTTCAATTAAAAAGATCAATGCTAAATTATACTTTTAGCTTAAGTTAAATTTTTGATTTGGATTATGTTAAAATTTCATATTCAATAAATTTACTAATCATTAATTATAGTCATCAACCCAAAAGAAAATGTTGATTGATTGCAGGAATTTGTATTGTAAAATATAATACACTATTTTGTGCAAAAAGAGAGAATAGATATGATAAGAACTAAATACAGTTAAATGGTTAGAAATCAGAAAATGAGGAATATAATGAATACTAGGATCTGATAAAAATTCTGATGATCAAAAGCCTGATAGTCATTTCTCCTATATATTCTTGACTAATAAAAATTTTCAAAATTTTTATAAATAAATTTCTGCAGATCTTCAGGGACTTGCTTAAACTATACAAAATTGTAAATAGAAAGGAAAAACATAGAAGAAATTTAAACTCTTAAATATTCGTTGGTTTATTTTTTTGGCATAGAAAAAAAAGAAATTTAACTCAAGTTTAGTAGATTACTTTTACAATAATTTATAAAAGTTAATGTAATAATTTATACCTTTACATCTGTAGCTCTAGGCACTATTTCTTTATTGACGAAATGTGCATTTCTACATCAACCACATTTTAATTCAAAATTTTCTTAGAACAATTTATAAAATATAATTATTTTTGAGTTTCAATTGACTTATATTCAAGAAAATAAATTTACTTCAATGCTATGACTCTTAAAATTGACATGTAAGATCTAGTAAATAATATTAAAAACAAGAAAGAAATTTGTAACAATTATAGAAGTAAAGAAAATATCTTTTGCAATTCAAAATTGTCATAATTTTAATAGAAAACAAAATAAAATAATATTAACAAAACATTTTTGACATAGCTCACATTACACAGACATTTGTTTGTGCAAATTTGGTAATCATTGATTTTATAGCATATCAAATTTTGACTTATGTTTTTGATGATGAAACAGACCCGTGATTAATTTTCTGAGCATGTAAATATGAATAAAATTTAATCTAACTACATTTTAAAAACTTTTTGTATATGGAGTAAAGTTTCAACTATTCAAATATTAAATGAATATTTAGATTCCTGCATTTTTGAAACTTAACAATAATATTACTTAAAGTTTCAACTACCGTATTATAGTTCTTGCTTGGACAAGCAATTTAAAGATGTATTTTAAGTTTTACATTATTTACATAGAAATTTGTTTTAAAAATTTCTAACCCAAAATATTTATTACTTTCAGATTCTCTAATAAAGAAATTTCAGTGAAATGAAAATCTGTGAAATATGCAAATATTATTCACCTGTATTGTTGGAATAAATTGAACTGTATTGAAAAATTATTAGTTCAAAATTGTATACACACAAAAATATCTACCTAAAATCATATCTCAAAATGTAAATCCATATCAAATTTAAATTAAAAGTTTTAGATGTCAAAATTTTTAAATTTATTATCATATAAATTGTCTTTTGCAGTATTTTAGATAAAAAGCCCAATTTATTTTTTCAAATCTAAATACCTGTATCAGTAATCTTTTAATTCAAGTGAAAGTGCTTATAAATTATAGAAGTACATAAACTTTTGAAGCAAATTTGAAAAATACTGTATAAATGTTGCAATTTTTTTACAAAAATAATTTGAATAAATCACTTCTCATATTCACTGATATATTATGGATAAGAATAGAAAGAACCATTTGTTAGATTTAAACTTTGAATTTGTTGGAACCCTGAGATGATGACGTTTATATAAAATATTAAAAGAATAGTGATGTAACCAAATATCATTGTAAAGAAAACACTGAAAATAGACTAGAAAAATTTAAGTCTATTTCCAGTGTTTCCTTTATGATGATATTTGGTTACATCACTATTCTTTTTGATCATTATATAAAATATATATAAAAGGCTTATATACATAAAGAAATCCACAAATTCTTTCTTTATCTTTGTTGTAAAAAATACTTGACCATATGATTTTCTATGTTAAAGGCAACAATTTTAACTAGTCATTAATGTTAATGGCTGTTTTATAATGTTCTCACAATATTGTAAGGTAAGAACATTATTGACTGGATCATTAACATAAATTTTCAGTTTCACACAAGATATGTTGTGAATTTGGAGGATATTTGCAAAATTATACCACTTTATCTGGGTACCGTTAATACAAGATTATATAACACTAATTTAACTTTAAATAAAAATGTTGAAAATAAAGATTTTTTTTTATTGTTGCAACTCAAACTAGCATGGAATATTTTATTAGCAAAACAATACTTACATTCTGTTCTGCAATGGCATCATTTATATTCCTGTGACCCAGGGATATTATTGATGAAGCTGCCTCCCTTAAACTTATATTAAGATCATCAGTGGGTAAAGAAATGCCATTTAATTAACACAAACATGAGTATATTTGTTTCAGAATACTGATAGGAGTGCCTGTAATAAAGAAATAGTTTATAAAATTTTTACTAATTTAATAACCACAAGAACAGAATATGTCAAAATAGGTGATAGTTTTTACAAACAGATTAAAATATTTGGTTAGTTAAGTAATTTGAAGAAATTTGCTGTTCCATTAAATTTTGCGTAGTTTTAAATGTAGCAAAGATCAAAATACATAAATTAGTTTCATTAACAATTAGTGTGTTTATAAATCGTTATTTTGTAATACAGTGGTGCCTCATATAATGTACGCCTCGAATAACGGACGCTGCGAATAACGGACTTTCCGTTCTGCAGTTACATGAGGCAAACAAGTGCGAATGATGTTTCCACTCTTTTGCCATTGCCAATGACAATCTGCTATTTTTATAATATATTATTAGTATATCTGAAGTACAGAGCTCCTGTTGGGATTCAGCTTGCTCTCTTCCTCAGCTTGCTCTCTTCTTTATTACGTACATCACCTCAGTGCAGAGTATTTACATTTATTCAAGTGTTGTGTAAATCATGGCTTCTAAAAAACAAAGGTGATTTCAATTGAAACAAAGCAAGACATCATCAGAAGGAGTGAAAGTTGACAAAAACTTCCATGTCAAATGGGGAGAGGTTCAGGAGTTTACCAACACACATTATCCAAACACAGCTGAGGCCAACAGGATCAATGATCTTTACAATGACACCCTTGCCCGTCATTTCCGACAGGTGTTGAAGAAGAGAGAGAGAAACAAACCACCTTGGACATGTTTTTCAAGAAGCCAGCTGCCAAAAAACAAAGGATGGAACAAGAGGAGTTCCGGTAGCCTCTCCTGAATCTGACTCCGATTAAAAAATGATAAAAAGAAACCTGCTGCAATGTGTAAAAAGTCTGTATCTGTATGAATGTGTAAATAAAGTGTTCCTCCACCTCCTCCTCACAGCATCTGACTACCCGGCATAATTGGTGACTGCTCCATTTTCATTTTNTCTCCTGAATCTGACTCCGATTAAAAAACGATAAAAAGAAACCTGCTGCAATGTGTAAAAAGTCTGTATCTGTATGAATGTGTAAATAAAGTGTTCCTCCACCTCCTCCTCACAGCATCTGACTACCCGGCATAATTGGTGACTGCTCTATTTTCATTTTTTTAATCGTATAGTACAGGGATGGCGAACCTTTTTCATTGTCCGTGCCACAAATTTATAAATAATCTTTATGAAATTATTAACGTGCCAAACTGAAATTGTCTAGCATAAATTATGATTCTTATATTTTTCTCTTTGTAGTTTTTTTTATTTTTTATTTTATGATTTTTTTTCTCTTTTCCTTTCACTCTCGAGAATAATTCAATAAACAAAGAAAGAAAACTTTTTGTTAAACAATTTTATTAATNACAGCATCTGACTACCCGGCATAATTGGTGACTGCTCCATTTTCATTTTTTTAATCGTATAGTACAGGGATGGCGAACCTTTTTCATTGTCCGTGCCACAAATTTTATAAATAATCTTTATGAAATTATTAACGTGCCAAACTGAAATTGTCTAGCATAAATTATGATTCTTATATTTTTCTCTGTTTTGCTTTTTTGTTTTTTATTTTATGTTTTTTCTTTTCCTTTCACTCTCAAAAAACAATTATTATAATTCAATAAACAAAAAAATTTTATTAAACAATTTTATTTGTTGTTGAAAGCTTCCATTTTCCGCCGTTCCCAAAATTCTCTTTTTCACCATATTCCTAGCTAATGGTATATCTTTAATTCTTTAGATAATTTTTTCTTTATTTTCGAAATCTTGCACATTGCAACCAGTAGGGCACATTGCAATAAGTAATGTGCGCATTTCAACCAAGCTTCCTTTAAAAAATGACCTTCAGTAAAAGTTTTCCCGTATTGAGAAATAGCTTTTGAAGCTTGATAACTAGCAGCAGTAGTGTTTGATTGAGTTCCAATATACTCGTATCTCATTAAGGACGTAGCTTGGGCATTTTTATTTTTGAAAACACTCCTTTTGCTCTTCTTCACTTCGATTGAGAAGAGATTTGTGGTTGGTTTGATAATGTCGCTTTACTGATGATGATCTACAAACCACTGCTCCTGAACATAAAAAGCAAATAGCTGTACTGTCCTTATTAATCGTATCGTACCATACCGTACCTATCGGTCAATCAAGTTTGAAATTCTCTGCTGCTGCCTGTTTCTGATAATTTCAATTTTTTCATTGAACTAGCCGTAATAAATTTTAAAAAANTTATAGATAAAAAATATTCTAATAGATGTATATAGTCTAACTTCGATGAAATTTTATGACATATTCCAATACATGTTGAATTCTTTGCAGATAAGTTTAAAACTCCAGAGAGACCAGTTGGAAAACCTTTTCGTCTCAGTGTTGGTGATGTGTACAAAGGAATGGGATCGGGTTTTAGTGTGTCTGGACGTATCGAAGCCGGTTACGTACAAACTGGTGATCGAGTAGTGATTATGCCTGCGGGAGAACCTGCCACAGTGAAAGGTAATAGCAAATAATAATACAGTGGACTACCTGTTTTTGAACACTTTTCTTTGGCTGACTGAATTTCATAGGTTTTGCATATGCTTGAATCTCTTTACTTTGACACCTTACATATTGAACAGATTTTTTAATATTACAGCTCCATAATCTGAACACACGTTATAAAAAACATATCTTCTACAAATGCATGGTAGTCAAGTGTTTCTGATTTATTTTTAGGCACATTCATGATCTATTAGTTGGTTTTTATACTTTAATTGATTGGTTGAAATTGTTCTCATTTTGAACAGGGGAGGGAGAGGTGGAACAAGAAAAAAGCATGTGAATGTATGAAGATCATTTCAATAAAAAAGATTACTCGATGGGATGATGTCTACTGCTTACTACTTGTAGCAAAAAATGAATTGTGCAGCATGTAATAGCTTTTTTTCAGTTCTACAGATTATGGCAACAGTCAGTCAAACATCAGTCAGTAATATGTTCTAACTAAAGGAGCAAATTTCTACCATCAAAATTCAAGTGGCACATGGAGGAATTCTGTAAAGTGTCACAGAAGACTTTCTGAAACTTGTGATAATGCAGCACTTCCTTATCCAATAATAATTTGGTGGTGTTCGTTGTAAAGGCAGTTCCAGTACTGAGTGTCAGAACAGATCTGTCATCCTGTTAGTGCTATCAACCAAGAGCATGTCTGTCAAGTGGAGGCATTCTGCAGAAAGATCATTGGTGAAAGCTCAAAGAATTAATGAGTGAAATGAATATTTCTTTGATGTCAATGGTTGGCAGTTGACAGCACTAACAGGATGACAAGATTATCTGCTGTTTGGTACCAGAACAGCTTTCACAGATGATAAACACCATTGAACCACTGTTGGATAGGAATGTGCCATACCATCACAAGATTCAACAAGTCCTCTATGACACTTTACAGAGTTTTTCCATGTGCCACATGAATTTTGATGAAAGAAGTTTGCTCTTTTCAAAAGAACATTGTTTATAAACATTTGTAGTTCTACAGATTCAACATTCACGTGTAGAGGCAGAAATGAGGCTGTTACATCACAATTAATTTTTGCTACAAGTGACAAGCAGTGGACAGTATCATCACTTTTATTGAAATGTTTCTTGTATGATAATCATTGTCTATAGTAGAGTACACCTGAGTACACCTAGAATATCAAGAAATAGCTCAATGCAAAGAATTGAATTTAGAAGATAAAATTAATGTCATACAAAGACTGAAATCAAAATGAAATTAAAGACAAGTTGCCCTATAGTTTGGAATATCTATTGGGCAGGCTCCTGGATTCTCAACAGCAAATGACTGTTCAGCAGGAAAGCTTGGACTTAAGCAAATTGACAACTGCTTATAACAGTGAACTGGACATAGTCTTACTATGCAATTAATGCTGCATTGCCTGTTAGTGAGGATTGCAAAGATTTGGATGATATTTCACTAGAATATGAAAGGGTGAAGAGGAGATTTAGTATACTGAAAGCTTGATTTCATTCAAGCAGGTTTGGAGAGATTATTGAAAAAAAAATGAGATTTCATCAGAAAAACAACCCTAATTTTTTGCTATTTTCAAGCAATTAGAAAACACATATGCACACATGGCATACAGAAATATTCTGTGCAAAGCAAAATAACAGATTATTTTCACAACTGAATTGTTTTTCTATAAATGCTATTTTACAGTACAATACAATATTTATATAAAAACTTATGTTAATATTTTAATAAAAATTAAAAATTTATTAGGCTAATCTTAAACTTACTAATTGTTTCAATTTGTGTTTTTGGTTAAATATATTAAACTTGTTTAGTTATCATGATTTTTATTTCTCCCTCTACAGTAGTCATGCTGCATAGTGCCAAAAGTGATGATAAAAATATAATACTAGTGATACCCAGTATTATATTTTTATCACCACCACTGCTGCAAGTAGTGATAAAAGCCCTAGTCAAGTTATTTTGACATTTTGCATGAAATACCCTATGTGCTATGGGAATACCCTAAGCCACACATCTAGCAATGCCATGATGCCACCCATCATTTACAGATTGGGGATTTTTTATTGACTGACAGAAAATTTGGGGAATTTTTTTAAATAAAAGAAGTTTATAAAATGATAAAACCACTATTTTTCTGAATTGTCTAATTAAATAATAAATCACACTTAAAAATGTTAGCTAATTTGTATGTTTTCCATGTGGGAATGAGCAAATATTTTATTAAATTCAAGTTGGCATGAAATTTCACCCATTAATTAGTGTTGAAAAGAATTTTGAAATAAAAATGAATTTTCTTTTTTATTTTATTTTAAAAGCTCTGTTTTGGTTTCAGTTGTTTTGTAAAAATCAAAACTATGGTTTGGTAAGACTGATTCATCCTTACTGCAAGCAGATAATCATGTAAGTAGACAGTGATACAGCAAATGACAACTGATCAGAAACAAAGTAAACATATTCCTATTTCACTCTTAAAACATGTAGTTTCCTTGCATTTTGGTGAATTTTCTCAATTTTTATAGGCTTAGCCGAGATGCCTTACCATATTTTTTTACAGCAAATTTTCCTGGGGCTGATTTAATTTCTGAACCTCATTTGTATGATTGGACATATTCTGCATCTCTGGTGAAAAGTTTAAAATTTGTTATATCAGAGTACAAGGACACATCATTGAAGAATACTTTCATCACAAATGTTGCATATTAGCAAATTGTAAAATTATGTCTTATTGGTCAATTTGCATTATTTGCAAGGCTGAATTTGATAATTTATTTGTAAAATTCGTGATAAAACTGTTCTTCAGTAATGTATCCTTGTTGTGAAAAAGCAGGGACTCTGGGGTAACCCCATTCCACATAAAGGATGGACAAGGAAATGAAGATCTGTGGAATCCTTCTTTATCCTAACTGGTGTCAGAACTCTTATAATTTCTTTCACATTTTAACTCGCAATTAAATTATCTATCTACTGAATGGAAAAGTATTTAGAAACTTGACCAGAATTTTAGGAGGGTTTAGTTTAAATGCTAATTGATGTGAGTTACACGGGCCGATGATGGAATTTGTCATTATTTGATTAATGCCTATTACGAATCTATACTAATATTATAAAGAGGTAAAGTTTGTAAGTTTGGATGTAAGAGGTAATCTCTGAAACTACTCATCCGATTTCCAAAATTCTTTCACCAATATTTAGAATTAACTGTCAGGGTGGACATAGGCTGTGTATTATTCCGTTAAATATTCATATAAATTAAAAAATATCATCTAGGTAAGCATTATATTTTTGGTGTCAACAGGTGGCGAGGGGCAAGAAGCGTACATATACGAGATAGGTAATCACACGGTGCAATCGTGTGGTCAGCGAGATATGCAGTGCACATGTCCGAACTTGTAATATAATATAGTAGAAGGGTTAGAAGTATGAAATAATCTGATAATCTTAATCTTTGTTGTTATTTTTTGCCTGAGCAATGTCAGGCTCATTTGCTAGTATATCTATATATTTGTTATACAAACTATATTTATCACATATATATATATTAAATGGAGATACAAATACTGTATTAAGAACAAAACTGATTAATTCCAATACTCACATAAAGGAGGACTATAAATCCTAACCTATTAAATCTATCCTGACAACAGACAGTTTACATAACAAAATTATATTATCTATGATTTGTGGATCAATGCCAACATTTTCAGTTGATGATGGAGTCAAGTTGAGTGCACAAATAAAATGCAAGAACCTTTTGAGATAGAGCTGGATAACTGGAGAGGGATGAGAGCATTGGGCATAAGCTTTAGCAAGAGTATGTTGGAAAGTGATCTCTCATCTTTTATACTGAATTCTATCCAATAGAAGTATTAGAAAATCCCATCACACTTCCAACATGTGCCAGAAGTCATGCAGTCCCATGGATAGAGAATGAGACATCTACTTGAACTAAAATGTCCTCATTCCACAGAAAAAGGAAGTTTTCTTTTACTTAATTTTTAGATTGATAAAATTTCTATCAAAAAATATTTTAACAAATTTGTTAAAATGAATCTCTTAACTTCAGATTCTCATATTGTGCTGTGATGTTGCAATTTTTTTTTATTATTATTTATTTCACATATAGAATTTGATTATTATTGTAAGCTGGCTTTAAGATGTATCAATTTTTTGTAGTAGAATATATTTTTCAGCATTAAATCCATTTCTGTGGTTTATCTTATTATATTCGGAGTTAATTATATCTTTTAAAGTAATAATGTTTAAAAACTATATTTCTATTACAATAAATAAACATTATCATCTTATTTTTCAGGGATTAGCATAGAAGAAAATTCTGTACTTCAAGCATTTGCAGGTGATCATGTAGGACTTTCTCTTTTGGGAGCAGATATGAATAAAATAACAATTGGAAGTATTGCTTGTGATCCAAATAATCCAATTCAAGTAACAACTAGATTTCAAGCTCGAATTGTGGTTTTTGGAATAGAAATTCCAATCACTAAAGGGTTTCCTGTCATTCTTCATTATCAAAGCATGAGTGAACAAGCAGTTGTGAAAAAACTGATTTCTCAGTTACATAAAAGCACAGGCCAAGTTGTGAAAAAGAAACCAAGGTCTGAAACAGTTTGATTTGCATATAAAAAATTTTACCATAAATTTAGTAAACAAATTTTAATACATAACTTATTATTATTTATTTTTTAAGATGTTTAACAAAAAACAGTAGTGCTATAATTGAATTAGAGGTAAATCGGCCAGTCTGTTTAGAATTATATAAGGATCTACGAGAATTGGGAAGATTTATGTTAAGATGTGGAGGAACTACAATCGCAGCTGGTGTTGTAACTGATGTAAATATATTTTCTGTAATTCTTTAATAAGATATTTTTAAGTTTTCTCCTAAATTTATTATCTTTTTTTTATTAAAATATAATATTAGATATCATTTTACATACAATTGAATATGAAATTTTAAAGGTTTACTGAATAAGCATAGGTCAAATAACATTCTTAAAATCTGAAAAAAAAAGTTTTATTTGTAATGCAAAATGTTTTCAATTAAAAAGATCAATGCTAAATTATACTTTTAGCTTAAGTTAAATTTTTGATTTGGATTATGTTAAAATTTCATATTCAATAAATTTACTAATCATTAATTATAGTCATCAACCCAAAAGAAAATGTTGATTGATTGCAGGAATTTGTATTGTAAAATATAATACACTATTTTGTGCAAAAAGAGAGAATAGATATGATAAGAACTAAATACAGTTAAATGGTTAGAAATCAGAAAATGAGGAATATAATGAATACTAGGATCTGATAAAAATTCTGATGATCAAAAGCCTGATAGTCATTTCTCCTATATATTCTTGACTAATAAAAATTTTCAAAATTTTTATAAATAAATTTCTGCAGATCTTCAGGGACTTGCTTAAACTATACAAAATTGTAAATAGAAAGGAAAAACATAGAAGAAATTTAAACTCTTAAATATTCGTTGGTTTATTTTTTTGGCATAGAAAAAAAAGAAATTTAACTCAAGTTTAGTAGATTACTTTTACAATAATTTATAAAAGTTAATGTAATAATTTATACCTTTACATCTGTAGCTCTAGGCACTATTTCTTTATTGACGAAATGTGCATTTCTACATCAACCACATTTTAATTCAAAATTTTCTTAGAACAATTTATAAAATATAATTATTTTTGAGTTTCAATTGACTTATATTCAAGAAAATAAATTTACTTCAATGCTATGACTCTTAAAATTGACATGTAAGATCTAGTAAATAATATTAAAAACAAGAAAGAAATTTGTAACAATTATAGAAGTAAAGAAAATATCTTTTGCAATTCAAAATTGTCATAATTTTAATAGAAAACAAAATAAAATAATATTAACAAAACATTTTTGACATAGCTCACATTACACAGACATTTGTTTGTGCAAATTTGGTAATCATTGATTTTATAGCATATCAAATTTTGACTTATGTTTTTGATGATGAAACAGACCCGTGATTAATTTTCTGAGCATGTAAATATGAATAAAATTTAATCTAACTACATTTTAAAAACTTTTTGTATATGGAGTAAAGTTTCAACTATTCAAATATTAAATGAATATTTAGATTCCTGCATTTTTGAAACTTAACAATAATATTACTTAAAGTTTCAACTACCGTATTATAGTTCTTGCTTGGACAAGCAATTTAAAGATGTATTTTAAGTTTTACATTATTTACATAGAAATTTGTTTTAAAAATTTCTAACCCAAAATATTTATTACTTTCAGATTCTCTAATAAAGAAATTTCAGTGAAATGAAAATCTGTGAAATATGCAAATATTATTCACCTGTATTGTTGGAATAAATTGAACTGTATTGAAAAATTATTAGTTCAAAATTGTATACACACAAAAATATCTACCTAAAATCATATCTCAAAATGTAAATCCATATCAAATTTAAATTAAAAGTTTTAGATGTCAAAATTTTTAAATTTATTATCATATAAATTGTCTTTTGCAGTATTTTAGATAAAAAGCCCAATTTATTTTTTCAAATCTAAATACCTGTATCAGTAATCTTTTAATTCAAGTGAAAGTGCTTATAAATTATAGAAGTACATAAACTTTTGAAGCAAATTTGAAAAATACTGTATAAATGTTGCAATTTTTTTACAAAAATAATTTGAATAAATCACTTCTCATATTCACTGATATATTATGGATAAGAATAGAAAGAACCATTTGTTAGATTTAAACTTTGAATTTGTTGGAACCCTGAGATGATGACGTTTATATAAAATATTAAAAGAATAGTGATGTAACCAAATATCATTGTAAAGAAAACACTGAAAATAGACTAGAAAAATTTAAGTCTATTTCCAGTGTTTCCTTTATGATGATATTTGGTTACATCACTATTCTTTTTGATCATTATATAAAATATATATAAAAGGCTTATATACATAAAGAAATCCACAAATTCTTTCTTTATCTTTGTTGTAAAAAATACTTGACCATATGATTTTCTATGTTAAAGGCAACAATTTTAACTAGTCATTAATGTTAATGGCTGTTTTATAATGTTCTCACAATATTGTAAGGTAAGAACATTATTGACTGGATCATTAACATAAATTTTCAGTTTCACACAAGATATGTTGTGAATTTGGAGGATATTTGCAAAATTATACCACTTTATCTGGGTACCGTTAATACAAGATTATATAACACTAATTTAACTTTAAATAAAAATGTTGAAAATAAAGATTTTTTTTATTGTTGCAACTCAAACTAGCATGGAATATTTTATTAGCAAAACAATACTTACATTCTGTTCTGCAATGGCATCATTTATATTCCTGTGACCCAGGGATATTATTGATGAAGCTGCCTCCCTTAAACTTATATTAAGATCATCAGTGGGTAAAGAAATGCCATTTAATTAACACAAACATGAGTATATTTGTTTCAGAATACTGATAGGAGTGCCTGTAATAAAGAAATAGTTTATAAAATTTTTACTAATTTAATAACCACAAGAACAGAATATGTCAAAATAGGTGATAGTTTTTACAAACAGATTAAAATATTTGGTTAGTTAAGTAATTTGAAGAAATTTGCTGTTCCATTAAATTTTGCGTAGTTTTAAATGTAGCAAAGATCAAAATACATAAATTAGTTTCATTAACAATTAGTGTGTTTATAAATCGTTATTTTGTAATACAGTGGTGCCTCATATAATGTACGCCTCGAATAACGGACGCTGCGAATAACGGACTTTCCGTTCTGCAGTTACATGAGGCAAACAAGTGCGAATGATGTTTCCACTCTTTTGCCATTGCCAATGACAATCTGCTATTTTTATAATATATTATTAGTATATCTGAAGTACAGAGCTCCTGTTGGGATTCAGCTTGCTCTCTTCCTCAGCTTGCTCTCTTCTTTATTACGTACATCACCTCAGTGCAGAGTATTTACATTTATTCAAGTGTTGTGCAAATCATGGCTTCTAAAAAAACAGAAAGGTGATTTCAATTGAAACAAAGCAAGAAATCATCAGAAGGAGTGAAAGTTGACAAAAACTTCCTTGTCAAATGGGGAGAGGTTCAGGAGTTTACCAACACTCATTATCCAAACAGAGCTGAGGCCAACAGGATCAATGATCTCTACAATGACACCCTTGCCCGTCATTTCCGACAGGTGTTGAAGAAGAGAGAGAAACAGACCACCTTGGACATGTTTTTCAAGAAGCCAGCTGCCAAAAAACAAAGGATGGAACAAGAGGAGTTGACCCTGCAAGCTCCGGTAGCCTCTCCTGAATCTGACTCCGATTAAAAAACAATAAAAAGAGACCTGCTGCAATGTGTAAAAAGTCTGTATCTGTATGAATGTGTGAAGAAAGTGTTCCTCCACCTCCTCCTCACAACATCTGACTACCCGGCATAATTGGTGACTGCTCCATTTTCATTTTTTTATGGTACAGTACGGTTATTTTATGCTGCGGAACGAATTATATGTTTTAACATGTATTTCTATGGGAAAATGTGTTTCGTATAACGGACTTTTCACTTAATGGACGTGCACCGGGAACGGATTAAGTACGTTATACGAGGCACCACTGTATTTTGAAAATATATATGAATCAATGAGAAAAATTAATTTCAGCACATCAGTATGATGCAAAGTTTTTCAGAGTTGTTCATTTCTTTAAAATTCATTTATGTGGATCACATTATTGTTTATTTAATTTACTCAGTTCCCTCAATGAGCAGAATTGAAGCATGCGATGTAGCCCGTATGCCGATGCTGAGAGAAAAACGTAATCCCTCTATAAAATAGCTGATGACTCGTGAATATTTTTACGTACGTAATAAAGTAGAGCGGTACCTAAGGAGCAGGGGCGGACTAAGGCCTAGGCAACCTAGGCACGTGCCTAGGGCCCGAAAATTAGGTTTTTAATTTTTATAATTAATTTTTATTTAACAGAAAAACGTGATATTCATAATTATTGCTGAAACGTATCCAAATTATGCCGAATCGTTGATTAAGTCGACAAGTGTGGACGAGCGTTCTCGTGCTTATGCATCCATGCCCTCGAGTGTCGACGTGTGTAAATACAATCGAGCCTCGCGCCTATCGATCCTTTACTATGCACGTGTTTAAAAAGTCAAACGTAGCTATTTAAAATCAGTGTCTCCTGAACGTATTGCATCTTATGTGAGTTGTGATTGAAAATTGTGCAATTAAGACTTAAGTACCTAGACTTGATTGCAAAAAGATTGTTTTGGATTCATAGTTAATAATTTCTGGAATTCCTAAAATAAAAATGTAAGTTTTTATAAAAGTATTACATTATTTAATTAAAATAATATATAATATAAAATACCACAAATTGTGATTTTGTTTGTGATTGTGATATTGAGTAAAAACAAATTTAATTGNACTCTGGGGTAACCCCATTCCACATAAAGGATGGACAAGGAAATGAAGATCTGTGGAATCCTTCTTTATCCTAACTGGTGTCAGAACTCTTATAATTTCTTTCACATTTTAACTCGCAATTAAATTATCTATCTACTGAATGGAAAAGTATTTAGAAACTTGACCAGAATTTTAGGAGGGTTTAGTTTAAATGCTAATTGATGTGAGTTACACGGGCCGATGATGGAATTTGTCATTATTTGATTAATGCCTATTACGAATCTATACTAATATTATAAAGAGGTAAAGTTTGTAAGTTTGGATGTAAGAGGTAATCTCTGAAACTACTCATCCGATTTCCAAAATTCTTTCACCAATATTTAGAATTAACTGTCAGGGTGGACATAGGCTGTGTATTATTCCGTTAAATATTCATATAAATTAAAAAATATCATCTAGGTAAGCATTATATTTTTGGTGTCAACAGGTGGCGAGGGGCAAGAAGCGTACATATACGAGATAGGTAATCACACGGTGCAATCGTGTGGTCAGCGAGATATGCAGTGCACATGTCCGAACTTGTAATATAATATAGTAGAAGGGTTAGAAGTATGAAATAATCTGATAATCTTAATCTTTGTTGTTATTTTTTGCCTGAGCAATGTCAGGCTCATTTGCTAGTATATCTATATATTTGTTATACAAACTATATTTATCACATATATATATATTAAATGGAGATACAAATACTGTATTAAGAACAAAACTGATTAATTCCAATACTCACATAAAGGAGGACTATAAATCCTAACCTATTAAATCTATCCTGACAACAGACAGTTTACATAACAAAATTATATTATCTATGATTTGTGGATCAATGCCAACATTTTCAGTTGATGATGGAGTCAAGTTGAGTGCACAAATAAAATGCAAGAACCTTTTGAGATAGAGCTGGATAACTGGAGAGGGATGAGAGCATTGGGCATAAGCTTTAGCAAGAGTATGTTGGAAAGTGATCTCTCATCTTTTATACTGAATTCTATCCAATAGAAGTATTAGAAAATCCCATCACACTTCCAACATGTGCCAGAAGTCATGCAGTCCCATGGATAGAGAATGAGACATCTACTTGAACTAAAATGTCCTCATTCCACAGAAAAAGGAAGTTTTCTTTTACTTAATTTTTAGATTGATAAAATTTCTATCAAAAAATATTTTAACAAATTTGTTAAAATGAATCTCTTAACTTCAGATTCTCATATTGTGCTGTGATGTTGCAATTTTTTTTTATTATTATTTATTTCACATATAGAATTTGATTATTATTGTAAGCTGGCTTTAAGATGTATCAATTTTTTGTAGTAGAATATATTTTTCAGCATTAAATCCATTTCTGTGGTTTATCTTATTATATTCGGAGTTAATTATATCTTTTAAAGTAATAATGTTTAAAAACTATATTTCTATTACAATAAATAAACATTATCATCTTATTTTTCAGGGATTAGCATAGAAGAAAATTCTGTACTTCAAGCATTTGCAGGTGATCATGTAGGACTTTCTCTTTTGGGAGCAGATATGAATAAAATAACAATTGGAAGTATTGCTTGTGATCCAAATAATCCAATTCAAGTAACAACTAGATTTCAAGCTCGAATTGTGGTTTTTGGAATAGAAATTCCAATCACTAAAGGGTTTCCTGTCATTCTTCATTATCAAAGCATGAGTGAACAAGCAGTTGTGAAAAAACTGATTTCTCAGTTACATAAAAGCACAGGCCAAGTTGTGAAAAAGAAACCAAGGTCTGAAACAGTTTGATTTGCATATAAAAAATTTTACCATAAATTTAGTAAACAAATTTTAATACATAACTTATTATTATTTATTTTTTAAGATGTTTAACAAAAAACAGTAGTGCTATAATTGAATTAGAGGTAAATCGGCCAGTCTGTTTAGAATTATATAAGGATCTACGAGAATTGGGAAGATTTATGTTAAGATGTGGAGGAACTACAATCGCAGCTGGTGTTGTAACTGATGTAAATATATTTTCTGTAATTCTTTAATAAGATATTTTTAAGTTTTCTCCTAAATTTATTATCTTTTTTTTATTAAAATATAATATTAGATATCATTTTACATACAATTGAATATGAAATTTTAAAGGTTTACTGAATAAGCATAGGTCAAATAACATTCTTAAAATCTGAAAAAAAAAGTTTTATTTGTAATGCAAAATGTTTTCAATTAAAAAGATCAATGCTAAATTATACTTTTAGCTTAAGTTAAATTTTTGATTTGGATTATGTTAAAATTTCATATTCAATAAATTTACTAATCATTAATTATAGTCATCAACCCAAAAGAAAATGTTGATTGATTGCAGGAATTTGTATTGTAAAATATAATACACTATTTTGTGCAAAAAGAGAGAATAGATATGATAAGAACTAAATACAGTTAAATGGTTAGAAATCAGAAAATGAGGAATATAATGAATACTAGGATCTGATAAAAATTCTGATGATCAAAAGCCTGATAGTCATTTCTCCTATATATTCTTGACTAATAAAAATTTTCAAAATTTTTATAAATAAATTTCTGCAGATCTTCAGGGACTTGCTTAAACTATACAAAATTGTAAATAGAAAGGAAAAACATAGAAGAAATTTAAACTCTTAAATATTCGTTGGTTTATTTTTTTGGCATAGAAAAAAAAGAAATTTAACTCAAGTTTAGTAGATTACTTTTACAATAATTTATAAAAGTTAATGTAATAATTTATACCTTTACATCTGTAGCTCTAGGCACTATTTCTTTATTGACGAAATGTGCATTTCTACATCAACCACATTTTAATTCAAAATTTTCTTAGAACAATTTATAAAATATAATTATTTTTGAGTTTCAATTGACTTATATTCAAGAAAATAAATTTACTTCAATGCTATGACTCTTAAAATTGACATGTAAGATCTAGTAAATAATATTAAAAACAAGAAAGAAATTTGTAACAATTATAGAAGTAAAGAAAATATCTTTTGCAATTCAAAATTGTCATAATTTTAATAGAAAACAAAATAAAATAATATTAACAAAACATTTTTGACATAGCTCACATTACACAGACATTTGTTTGTGCAAATTTGATAATCATTGATTTTATAGCATATCAAATTTTGACTTATGTTTTTGATGATGAAACAGACCCGTGATTAATTTTCTGAGCATGTAAATATGAATAAAATTTAATCTAACTACATTTTAAAAACTTTTTGTATATGGAGTAAAGTTTCAACTATTCAAATATTAAATGAATATTTAGATTCCTGCATTTTTGAAACTTAACAATAATATTACTTAAAGTTTCAACTACCGTATTATAGTTCTTGCTTGGACAAGCAATTTAAAGATGTATTTTAAGTTTTACATTATTTACATAGAAATTTGTTTTAAAAATTTCTAACAAAATATTTATTACTTTCAGATTCTCTAATAAAGAAATTTCAGTGAAATGAAAATCTGTGAAATATGCAAATATTATTCACCTGTATTGTTGGAATAAATTGAACTGTATTGAAAAATTATTAGTTCAAAATTGTATACACACAAAAATATCTACCTAAAATCATATCTCAAAATGTAAATCCATATCAAATTTAAATTAAAAGTTTTAGATGTCAAAATTTTTAAATTTATTATCATATAAATTGTCTTTTGCAGTATTTTAGATAAAAAGCCCAATTTATTTTTTCAAATCTAAATACCTGTATCAGTAATCTTTTAATTCAAGTGAAAGTGCTTATAAATTATAGAAGTACATAAACTTTTGAAGCAAATTTGAAAAATACTGTATAAATGTTGCAATTTTTTTACAAAAATAATTTGAATAAATCACTTCTCATATTCACTGATATATTATGGATAAATCACTTCTCATATTCACTGATATATTATGGATAAGAATAGAAAGAACCATTTGTTAGATTTAAACTTTGAATTTGTTGGAACCCTGAGATGATGACGTTTATATAAAATATTAAAAGAATAGTGATGTAACCAAATATCATTGTAAAGAAAACACTGAAAATAGACTAGAAAAATTTAAGTCTATTTCCAGTGTTTCCTTTATGATGATATTTGGTTACATCACTATTCTTTTTGATCATTATATAAATTATATATAAAAGGCTTATATACATAAAGAAATCCACAAATTCTTTCTTTATCTTTGTTGTAAAAAATACTTGACCATATGATTTTCTATGTTAAAGGCAACAATTTTAACTAGTCATTAATGTTAATGGCTGTTTTATAATGTTCTCACAATATTGTAAGGTAAGAACATTATTGACTGGATCATTAACATAAATTTTCAGTTTCACACAAGATATGTTGTGAATTTGGAGGATATTTGCAAAATTATACCACTTTATCTGGGTACCGTTAATACAAGATTATATAACACTAATTTAACTTTAAATAAAAATGTTGAAAATAAAGATTTTTTTTATTGTTGCAACTCAAACTAGCATGGAATATTTTATTAGCAAAACAATACTTACATTCTGTTCTGCAATGGCATCATTTATATTCCTGTGACCCAGGGATATTATTGATGAAGCTGCCTCCCTTAAACTTATATTAAGATCATCAGTGGGTAAAGAAATGCCATTTAATTAACACAAACATGAGTATATTTGTTTCAGAATACTGATAGGAGTGCCTGTAATAAAGAAATAGTTTATAAAATTTTTACTAATTTAATAACCACAAGAACAGAATATGTCAAAATAGGTGATAGTTTTTACAAACAGATTAAAATATTTGGTTAGTTAAGTAATTTGAAGAAATTTGCTGTTCCATTAAATTTTGCGTAGTTTTAAATGTAGCAAAGATCAAAATACATAAATTAGTTTCATTAACAATTAGTGTGTTTATAAATCGTTATTTTGTAATACAGTGGTGCCTCATATAATGTACGCCTCGAATAACGGACGCTGCGAATAACGGACTTTCCGTTCTGCAGTTACATGAGGCAAACAAGTGCGAATGATGTTTCCACTCTTTTGCCATTGCCAATGACAATCTGCTATTTTTATAATATATTATTAGTATATCTGAAGTACAGAGCTCCTGTTGGGATTCAGCTTGCTCTCTTCCTCAGCTTGCTCTCTTCTTTATTACGTACATCACCTCAGTGCAGAGTATTTACATTTATTCAAGTGTTGTGTAAATCATGGCTTCTAAAAAACAAAGGTGATTTCAATTGAAACAAAGCAAGACATCATCAGAAGGAGTGAAAGTTGACAAAAACTTCCTTGTCAAATGGGGAGAGGTT